TACTATGTACAATAATACGTTTAAGAAAAAAAAAGTCAATCTGTCATAATCATTTGTTACCAGTCAAGTATTCATTACTTCAATGAGCTCATTGTTTCTGCCTTAAATTATTACATTTTTAGCTAACTGTGATTTTATATGTACATTTCTGAAATACATAACTTAGTTACCTCTGATAACAGATCACTCTAAATTGAAATGGAAAAGGGCTATACAAATAATTAAATGTGAATTGAACAACGCCCATTTGACACACAAACCCATTTGGAATATTTATTTGTTTGATATCGGATTTTAAAGCCTAACTCTGACAACAGATAACAGGTACAGTATTGCATTATACCAAAAAAAAGAAGAAGAAAAAAAAAAAAAAGAAACCACCAGCATCAGTTTACAATAAAAAGGCATTTGACTAAATGACAACAGTGTTCCAGTTTCATACTATGGACATACGCTCAAGGCAGAAAATACATACCACAAAATATTGTACCAGTTCATAACATACAATATGATTTTGTGTTTTTGGGTACATGAATACACATAAGAGCTGAAGAGAAAAGAACCCAACAACATAAATTTCACATTGCAGGTTCTGATACATCTATTTTTCAGCTATAAAATCTTCATTGCTGTGTGGAGGAAGAAGGGGATATGAAACAATTGGGAAAAAAAGTGTAAATTAGAATCACAAATTGTGTGTTCCACATGTGGCATCACATTGGCATAATTTTTACGTCACAGTTTTGATTAAAAAAAAATAAAAATAAAAAACAATTTCTTTCTTGTTCTCGTGCCCTGCATTGTAAAAAGTAATCGGTTGACTTAACTTATAAAAAAAACTTCAATTGCCTCAAAATTAAGTTATGTGGAATTGTCAAGTTCACAACTTATTTTTTTCAATTATGGATGGTTTATTACTTATTAAATTTTAGTTATATGAGCTGCCTTGACAATTCCACATCCTCCAGTAACTTAAGTTTATTTACTTAATTTTAAAGGCAACAGGTTTCAAATCACTTTTTACTGCATTGACAAACTATAAAATCAAAAACTGTAGCAGTGTCTGACAGGTCAGCTAAAGATGTTAGCCCAATTACAGATAGAAAGAAATGCTTGGAATAGAGTACACTTAGAAAAAGTGGTTAATATGTACGTGGAAGACGATAAAAGGGGATTAGTGTCTTGCCTTTGTTTCTTTAGTCCTTTAAGCCCTTCCACAACTAAAAGTGGCAGTATTTAAAGCTACACTGTGTAACTCTTTTAGTTTATTCTTAGCTAAAAACACTTAGTTCTTTTAAAAATATTTGTGCTCATTAATGTATATTTTCTTTGTTCAAGTAATAAAGTATTCTCGTGAGTGTATAATATGCCATTGAAAATACATACGAGTAAGAGGTTCTAATGATCGCCATGTTGCCCCTCCATCTTGAAAGTACATTAGCCAAAGAGGGACATACCCGTTAATTCAAGTTTCGCCTTTCGCGTTTACGTTTGATTTAACACTCATGGACGAGGCCGAACTGGAAGCCATGTTAATCTTGGACTACATTGGCCAACAAAATCGGAATTGAGAGGAACAGAAAGTAATATTCAGTGGATGGTCATACACCTTTTCACCGCTAGATGGGGGTAAAAATCACACAGTGTAGCTTTAAGTGCTGACTTAAAGTTAAACACAAAAACAAACAAAAGAATGATCAAATGTCAGTCTCCGGAAGGAGAGAATGAAACCCTGTCATCCAGAACGGCAGAAAGATGGAATATTAATGAGATATTTTGGCCAAAAATAATAATGATTTAAAATAAACATTAAAAACTATGAATTACATTCAAGCACAGAGCCTGGTACGGATCAGTCACCATTTCTCTCGAGTCTTGCTCAAAGTCTCCTAAACACACAACAAACACACTCGTATCGGCAATAACACAACGGCTTGTAAATTCAAAATTGCACATAGACCGAACAATGACCGAGGGCTCTCATTATCATTATCGTCATCGTACCGCCACTGACATCCCAATGTATTTGGTATCAAAATCAAGTTTTTAAAAGTGCAAAAATCAAACTGAAAACACACCGAGCCTCTTACATTCACACACACACACACACACACACACACTCTCACAAACAGTTTGTGTGCCTGCGTGCACATTTCGTCAAAGCTACATTACTAAAAAAAAAGAAAAAAATTCCTAGAAATTATCCATACTATTATTGCTATCTCTCTAGACTGAAATGGACACTGCAGCGTTCTAGTGTTGCGCTAGTAATTAGTCATAAAAATATAATATTAAGAGTACATAGCGTAAAGAATACACATTATTACTAAGACCTGACAGTGATCTAGGAAGATTGATTAAGGATATGTGCGCGCAAACATTAAACATACTGATGTGTCATTCTCGGATATTTCAAGGCACACGTGCCCTCGGTTCTTCATTTGCACAGACTCGCTCTGAAACACGACGTTCACCTGAGAGTTCGTTCAAATGCCAACCACAAACACAGAGTCAAAGAGTCTTACATAAACATGTTTAAAGGAATAGTTCGCTCAAAAAATTCAAGCCATTATTTACTCACCCTCATAATGCCGTTCTAAACCTGAATGACATGCGTGGAGCGTTGGTTCATACAACTTCAGCGCTATCATTCTATAAAAAACATCTGTGTTCTCCAGATGAAAGTCATCATGTTTGAAACCTGATGGTGTTTTTTTTTAGGTGAACTATTCCTTTAAAATGAAAGCAGCCTACAACAACAGAACTATTAAGATCTACTCCCAATTATTTTTGCTCATATACGTGTGTTGGTGGGCAGAACTGGAAACATAAATGCTGTGGAAACGTAAGTGCAAACAAATCAGCACTGAAATAAAATCAGTACCGGGCCTAAGGGCTACAGCAAACAGAGACTGATCAAGACTGAACACACACATTCTTGTTCATCTTTGTGAAGACATTCATTGACACAATGCAATATCTAGCTCTTACCCTAAACGTACCCTGTTTATACCTGGTATTAAAGGGATACTACACTTTTTTTGGAAATAGGCTCATTTTACCACTCCCCCAAAGTTAAACAGTCGAGTTTTACCGTTTTCGAATCCGTTCAGACGATTTTCTGATATTTAGAAGAATATCAGTAACCAGACAGTTTCTGCTCTCATTGACTTCCATAGTATATTTTTTTCCTACTATGGAAGTCAATGAGACCAGAAACTGTCTGGTTACTGATATTCTTCTAAATATCAGAAAATCGGGTGATTGCATTCGAAAATGGTAAAACTCAACTGTGTAACTCTGGGAGAGTTGTAAAATAAGCCTATTTCCAAAAAAAGTGGAGTATTCCTTTAAGATGCGTTTTGGTCAATCGAATTACAAGTGGACGTGTAAATGGGGTCTAAAACGTTTTGAGCTTATCAAAAACAGAGTTAATCAAAAACACATTTGACCAGATTCTTTTCGTAGTGAAAACAGTCATGTGGTCGAATGTTTACACAAAAGAGCGCCTAATGTCCACCTACTGACATAATAATGCGTAAATATTATGGGAAGCGTGCTAGTCAGATGGGATTTAACTTGTCCGTGCGGCACTTCTGTCGCACGGCGCTCCGCTTTATTCCTATGGGTGACGTCATGCGACTTTAACGCGCTCGCAAAGCATGGAAAGGCGGCGCTTCATTTGGGAAAAATGCTGCGCGTCAAAAAGCTGGCCGATGCCCATCTTTATGCAAATGAATTCCGTTGAACGTGCCACGACTATCCAATAGAAGTAGAGCATATGGAGACGGGGGCAATTCTCTCGCAGATCCCCTGTTCTAGACTGGCCGCTGGCTCAAAACCACGCTCATAGCAGTAAACTTGAGGAACGCCCATCAAAGTACAATGTGGGAAGGCGTCGTGACAACACGTGACTGTCGTGTCGGACAAGTGGATCTCTACCGTTAAGCTGCATTCACACTACACACGACAACATTCATTTTCAATGGTGAGTGGGCGACTTCCGGCGACACGCGCGGTCACGACCATTGGCGACCGGTGGGGCGTGTCCAGCGACGCAACAAAGTTGAGAAATGTTTAACTTTATGCAAATGACGAGCGATTTTCGCGAGCGACAACCAATAGAAGTGAAGTCAGTGGAGCGCGTCACTCTTCAGTGCTGAGTCTGACCGAGGCAAGTTGAACGAGAAGCTAATTTTAGCAGTCAGAAACTGTCCTATAATTTATGATGTATCTCCATGTACATAAAGTGGTGTTCACCGTAGTGACTCCGTGACTGAATGGTTTTGGGAACCCAGAAAGACTGGTATTTCCCCATTTGCTACAGTTAAATAGCCGCGATGGCAGAGAACACTCACTGTTTCTTGTTCATCTTTAATATTATTCATTTTAAGGTACTGATTCCATTTATATTTAGACTTTTCCTTCCCAAATAAATGTTTGTAGAGGCAATAAAACGTATTTTTTTGTCTAACATAGAGTAACTTCTTGAATGTCACTCACAAAGAGTAACTTCTTAAATGTCACTCACAAACATTACTAGGCAACCAGTAGTGGGGAACTTCCAGCGCAGCCACTGGCGACCTGCAGCGACAAAGTCGCATGTAGTGTGAACGGGGCTTTAAACATTGTCAGCTGGAGTCCCAAGTTTGGTTTGAAGACAAAAAACATACCAAGCACAATGTTCTCTCACCACTCCTGATTTCACTCATCGCATTCGGCGTGGTCTTCAGAGAAGAAACTTCTTTCCGTCATCTTTGGTCGTGTTGAGATGGATTAAAATACCAGGTGTAAACAGAAATGTGTCCTTGTGATCCGAATTGACCAAAACACAGATTGATCCAAATGCCTAACCCTAAACCGGATTCTAACAGGATTTTTCCCTAAATTCAAGTCTTGACCCTCAAACAGGCCTTTAAGGTCCAATCGGATGGTCTAAAACTCAAACCAGTCCTCACAAAGATATTTGTACAAAAAAAAAAAACACACACACACAAACACACACTTGATATCATGCCTTGTTCTAAATAGAAAACACTGGTTTAGAAACATCACGCCTGTCAACGTACCAAGCATTTTTATGCATATACGTGAGAATCCATCAGCGGATCTCCATCTTATTCTAGTTCCACAACGCCTAACACGCACACAGACTGTAGTGGGGGCGCTCTCACAGGGTTCAAAGGTCAGTGCTCCAACAGTGAGGATGTCTTCATTAAAAAAGACATGAAATCATTCAGAGTACCGCTCATGCTCAAACTAAAAAGAGCCACTGAACTACACTGCAGATCGATGGGAACAGCAAATGGCAAAACAGGGAAACCACAGCATTTAACATTTCTTGAGCGGAGTAACGGTTTTCATGGGGATGGAGGCGAGTCAAACGCTGTTACATTGGGCCGTTACTACTGGAGTCGCCCCTGCAGAATGAGACATTTTTAGGTTTTAAATACATGTCCAGTAATTTCCTATGGAAGAACACTCAAATGTATCTATTTACTTCTGCTCCTTGGGCGACTGTGTAGCAGTGATGGGTATCGCCATGGTTCCTGTTGCTATGACATCTGTTGCTTTGGCATTAGTGTCACTGCAAGACAGTGGAAGCAACCAATAAGAGGATATCACTGTGCACATTTTGTCATATTAAGTCTTGAGTCAATGTCAAAGTCAAGCTGCTAAATTTTCAACAACCGTCTGCAAACAATTTAGTAATGCTTCGACTGAATGCAAGAATGTGATGTGTTTTATTTGTTATTAACAACCCCAAACTTTTTGCACAAGAATTAAAAAATGAATGTATTAAATTAAAACATTACATAATTGTATTATTATTAGTAATACTAATAATATAATGTTTAAAAGCACAATAATGCTTTAAAAAAGCGTTAATAGAATGCAAGAATGTTTGGTAACGCTTCCTTTTACAGTCCAGTTACCCATGTAAATACTATGTACTTATTTTAGTAACTACAATTACTGGGTAATAACTAGTACTAACCCTGAACCTACCCCTAAACCTAGCCCTGTTCCATGTACTTACCTTATATTAGCCAGTACTTTCTAGGTAAGTACACTGTAAGTACCCTGTAAGTACTGTACTGTAAAAGGAAGCATTACCGAATGTTTTACCTGTTGTTTGCATCGAAGGCGAGTGTAATGCTCTCCTTGGCGACGCTCTCTGTGATGATGTTGGCTCGGTCTTCTTCCTCACTGTCTGAGCCACTGGAGCTGCTGTCGGACGCCACCAGCGGAGCCTTCCTCGCCCCACACACACTCCACACACACGCTGATGAGCCTTTCACTGCAACACACACTTGCTATTAACTCATGTTCATGGACCATTTCAAGAACATTTAGAACAAACAACAGTATTTTAAATATGCAAACAATAAATATTATATTATTATTAAAAATAATATGTTTGCGCAAAGGTTTAAGTGAAATGTAACTTTTAACATTTAAATAGTGAGTCAAATAGTGAGTCAGTGTTCTTGGTCTTACCCTGATTCACTAAGCCTATTAAAATTTAAAAGGGTTTATATTTTAGACCTAGTCAGTTTGAGATCCTTTCCATCTAATCTGGTTATATCTCTTATGTCTAGTAGTAGTGAATGTTTTATGAGCAGTGTGATAATCATATACATCAGCATTCAAAGCATGCATCACTAGCTAGGGTCAAAAGTTATATAGTGTACCTTTTAATAATGATTACCAACAACACCAAACCGTTTTGCATAAAATAAATATTCTTAATAAGACTAGAGCATTTAGGAGAAATTAATGCATTAAATAATAATATTGGTATAATAATAAAATGTAACAATAATGAAACATTAACAGCTAAATTTAAATAATTAAACTATTCATATATTATTATAAAAAATAAATACCAAACTTTTATAATATTTTGGTAAAAAAAAACAAAAAAAACGAATATTCTTTATAAGACTAAAAGCACTTAGACATTAATTTGTCAAACTAAAACTACATAAATTACAGTTGTATAATTGTAATATTTCTTAAAGGACAAGTTTGGTATTTGTTTTAAGATTGTTTGAAATTTGGACACGTGCTGCAGGCCCGAGAATTTGTTTCTGTGGCTGCACCCCAACAACAACAACAAAAAACCCAAATGTAAGAATTTAGTATAAATAGGAATAACGCAAAAAAAAAAAAAAATAATAACATGAATACACTTTTAAAGAAATAAGCAAGTAAACCACTCACTTTCTTCATTTTGGCTCTGTTTGTTTGGATTTTCCGAGTCCACGGGTGAACTGCATCTGGGTCCAGCATCTGAACTGTAGAACACCAGAACGATTAGCATGACCTGAATACACAATATCAACTAAAACACAGTCTCTCCCTCACCAGCAGAAAGGTTGGAAGTCAGTGAAAGTCGCCCATCCCTTATCTTCCACCTCACTGAGCTGGGCGGTAGAGCTTCCCCACACGTTAGAGCCCGTATCTACAGCGATACTAGGAAAATCCTGACAGCTGAAGTCATCTTCAAAACTCGCTGTCCATCCAGGACCTGCTGGGTTATAATCGTTTTTCCATTCAGTTATTATATGAGATCAGGTGGGAGATCTAAATCTAGATCGTGTGAGCTGTGAGCTTACTCTGCGGATCGCTGGACTGCTTATCCATGTCCTGGTTCTGGATCTTGTCTGGAGTTTGTTTGGTCTCTGGAAACCACTCCATGTCAGGTGATCCCAGACGCCTGCGAGAGCCACCGTCCACCTCACTCTTCTGAGGATTGGTCACCAGTCCAAACCTATTAAAAACGAAACAATACACGGCAGTCAGAGCAGTCAATGTTTAGAGTGTGGGTGCAAGTGTGTCTGTGTGTTTTATGAACCTGCTTCTGGATTTCACTTGTGTTGCATAGTTGATTTCTTTATCCTCCCAAATATCTTCCTCCTCCTCGGGATCTTCAAACGGCCGTATTCGCTCCTTTGTGCAAGTCTCAAAGATAGCAGAGCTCTTCTGAGAGAGGAGAGAAACAGGAAGGGTAATAACAACAGTGAGAAAGGAAGAGTGTGAATAAGAAAAAAAAATAAGAAGAATATAGAACAATTAATATTAATAATAATAATATAAAGAAAGAATAAAACAGGACTCACCCCCTTGTCCCCCAGGTTAAAGCTGATCTCAGAGATTCGATCAAATGTGGCACTGCAGGAAAAACAGACAGAAACTACAGTTTAAATCTGCTAAAATCATGAATTTAAATTAAATTAATTTATATTTTAATATTAAATAAAAAAATCATCTTATTATGGTAGATTTACATTATCAAGGATTAAAGAACATGCCGTTTTTAAACATAAGATTTAGACAAATATTTATATATAATAGTTGAATCTACATTTAACTCTAAATCTAACCCTTTGCTCAGGAATCACCTGATGTTGCCGTCATGCTCTCCGAACTCATCGCCATTCAAACCAAACTGATCAACAAAGTTTGCCGTCATCTGCTGGATCTGATAATCTGAGAACACCTGTTAAGAGAAAGATGTGTATTAAAGGTGAATTGTGGATTGTCATTTTTTCACATTTCACAGCACATGTCTTTGTGCAAACTCTCACCAGGTCTGCAGTGTTCTTCTTGTTAGTTTCCATTAGTGTTTCATTCACAAACTGCTCCCAGCGAGCTTTATAGTCCTCTGGTAGCTCTGTCAAACACAGACATACCAAACATTTTAAAACAAAGAATGTTTGTTAAAAAAATTATATCATTCAAAAGTTTGGGGTCAGTAAGATTTTTTTTAAAAGCAATTAATTCTGTTATTCAGCAAAAAATGCATTAAAATTAAAATTATGTCATCAACGACTCACCCTCATGTCGTCCCAAACCCGTAAGACCTACGTTCATCTTTGGAACACAGTTTAAGAAATTTATGATTTAGTCCGAGTCGAGAGATTTCTGTCCCTCCTTTGAAAATGTGTACGGTATACTGTCCTTATCCAGAAAGGAATTAAAGACATCATCAAAGTAGTCCATGTGACATCAGTGGGTTAGTTACAATGTTTTGAAGCATCAAAATACATTTTGGTCCAAAAATAACAAAAACTACTACTTTATTCAGCATTGTATTGTCTTCCTGTTCTGCTGTCAGTCCGCGTTCAGTGACGCTGCTGACGTAAGACGCTGCTGACGTGATATCTGGTGCGCCCGAGCTTCGTTTACTGTCTGAGGGAGCGCACGCTGTAAACAAAACAATCTTCACAAACATGTCTAAGGATTTCAACACACAGGAGGACTTGCATTTTTTTGCCCAGCCATATTTATTTGAACCCGAATACACGGACGCACCAGATACACGTCAGCAGCGTCACTGAACGCGGATCCACAACAGAACCAGTGTTCTGCCGATTTTTGCTGCCTTGTCGAAAAATGCTACCGTAGCGCGAATTGATCACAGAATGCCGATTAAAATCGTATGAAATACAATTATAATACAATTCTAAGTTATGAGTAGCTACTGTATACTGTAGACTACTGTTTTTATTTTTAAAATGGTGTGAAAAGTAAAAATTATCATAAAATATTCATCTTTGACTTGTCAAAGTACACCTTTGAAACTTTCAGTTATTCCTTTTCAGCTGGCTGACCATACAAATATTCATATGGTAGTAAGCATTTTTTAAAGGGAAATTATACATTATAACAGGAAAATGTACCTTTTGTAAAAAAAAAAAAAAAAAAAAAAAAAAAAAACTGCACATGCGCATAACCAGTAAGTAGCAAATCTCGATGGGTAGCATGAATTGTCAGAACGCCGGAAGACAATACAATGCTGAATAAAGTCGTAGTTTTTGTTATTTTTGGACCGAAATGTATTTTCAATGCTTCAAAACATTCTAACTAACCCACTGATGTCACATGGACTACTTTGATGATGTCTTTATTTCCTTTCTGGACAAGGACAATATATCGTACATGCATTTTAAAAGGAGGGACAGAAAGCTCTCGGACTAAATCTAAAATATCTTAAACAGTATCCCGAAGATGAAGGGAGGTCTTACGGGCTTGGGACGACATGAGGGTGAGTCAATACATGTGGCGAGCAGGACGAGGTGAGGCCGGTGGCATGATTACTAATGAGAGTAAGCATAAATGGAGGAAAAATGACAGTGAAGAGCTACAAGACCGGTGCATCGCGCAGGTATCGCTAATCAGTAATCACGGCCCTCGGCCTCGTCCTGCTCGCCACAATACAGCACACACACAGAGTGTTAGCTACCCTTTAATAGTTGTGTGATTTGGGTCTGTTCTTGTTCTCTCTCTGCATTCTGCACAACCGTGTTGGCAATCCTGGTCAGGTGACCCATATATCCTCTTCTCATGCCTCCAGCTTCCCTATAACATGCACACAGAGATAAAAGATCAGAAGATACTCAACCAGCAAAAGCGTATCGACTCTTTAGCTCATAGATATTTTATAACTTTGTCCTTACTGTGTTTTGTCATTTTCTTCCCAAGCATCCAAAATCCTCTGAACCAGCCTGCAGTCCTTCAGTAGCTGCACACAAACAATTATATTTCAATGACGTATATATAGTGCATACTGTATTTCACAAGAGGAAACCTTTTCACTTTTTGACAATTAATAAGTCATAAGTTAGTAAATGTATTATATATGGTGTGTGTTTATGAGAACACAAATTTGTACAAAGAAATATGACAATGACATGTATAACTTTCTGTGTCCTCATAAACCTAATAGCTTAAAACATACTAATTGGTGTTTTTTTCTTTTTTTAAATGCAGAAAGTTTTGTGTGATGCGACAGGTTGTACAGTATAAAAACAATTAATCCTATGGAGAGTCCTGTAAACCACATTTACCAAAGCCAGTTTAAGTGTGTAATACAATTATATATATATATATATACACACACACACCAAATAATTCACATGCATGTGTACATTTACCAAGTGAGTCAGATCTAGCAAGTGACTCAAGCTTGATTATTATTCTGCTAACATGGTAATATATGGTGCCTCACTACAGACAACTTATTTTTATATTACTTTATTACATGTTACCATATAAGACTATACAAAGCTTCAGTAAGTGAGGGTCATGCTTACATGCTTTATCAAGTCACAGCTTGTGAACATGTCAGATTTGTCTGAGTTTTGTGTTTCCAGCTGAATCTGATCTGGACTGTCATGCGTTTTTCCATTCTGTGTTGACTGGTTGAGGATGGCAGAGACACAGTGCTCCACTTGGATGTGTAGGAAGTTATTCCAGGAGAATTTAAAAAACAAGTCCTACAGAGAGAAACAGATTAAGAAAGAAAATGGAAATGTCTCTGAAAGAACTCCTTTGTTCACCAAGGCTCCATGTATTTGCTCAAAAACAAAGTAAAACAGTAATAATGAGAAACATTTAGGGCTGTCAAACGATTAATCGCATCCAAAATAAAAGTTTGTGTTTACATAATATATGTGGGTGCACTGTGTATAATTATTATATATATATATATATATATATATATATATATATATATACACACACATGCATGTATGTTTAAGTAAAGGGAAAAAAAATGATGTATAAAATATTTATATATATTGTAAATTATATATAAATCTATATACAGTATGAAAATATTTCTTAAATATATACAAGCATGTGTGTGTATTAATATATATATAAAATAATTATACACAGTGCACCCACATATATTATGTAAACACAAACTTTTATTTTGGATGCGATTAATCGCGATTAATCGTTTGACAGCCCTAGCAATATTAAAACTATTTAAAATAATTGTATTCAATTTTATTATATTTTAAATACATTTCATTTACTCCTCAGATGTTTTCAGCATCATTACTCCAATCATCAATACTTCAGTCACATGATGCTTAAAATCATTCTAATATGCAGATTTGTGCTGCTTCTTATTTTTGTGAAAACCTTTATGCGTTTCTTTTTAGGATTCTTTGATAAATATTAAGTTCAAAAGAACAGCATTTATCTGAAAGAGAATACTTTGTAACATTATAAATGTCTTTACTGTCACTTTTCATCAATTTAACGCATCCTTGCTGAATAAACGTAATCATTTCTTAAAAAAAAAAAAAAAAACTAAATAAGTAAAATGAATAATTTCTTACAAGAAAAAAAAATTAAACTAATAATATCAAATTGTCTAATTTCCAGATCAAACTGTAAAGTATTTAACAAATGATTGGCTCTAAGAAAGGAAACATCTTGTTTATTTGTTGACTTTGTAAGCAAGACTAAGGATGACTCATACCAGCAGCAGGTTGATCATGTTCATCTGGCAGAGCTCCTGGTGGATTCTGGGAGCTCTGGTGTACAGGAGAGCAGCCATCAATCTGGACGCAGACAGCCGCGCGTTGCCAAACGGTTCCTCAAGAATGCCCATCGTGGTCAACATCACACATTTCTGAATGCAGACAGTCCAAAAACATCAACTTCCTCAATGTGACATCTTTCAGTCATTTGACTTTGTTTTAAGACTTGATAAAACCAAAGAAGCAGACCAACCTTGAGTGGGTTTAATAGAAGGTGGTGGAAGTGCTTTAGATGTGGTTGGATGCCCATTAAAATGCTGTTGTTAACAGTGTAAGACTTTTCCAATCCCTGAGAGCACGGGTCAGTCACCTGCTCAACACTGTTACACACACATACATACATAAGAAACATTTTACATTTACATTGATTCATTTAGCTGACGCTTTTATCCAAAGCGACTTACAATTGCTATACATATCAGAGGTCCCACACCTCTGGAGCAACTAGGGGTGGATTACTCACAGTGGATTAGAACCTGGGTCTCTCACACCAAAGGCATGCGTCTAATCCACTGCGCCATCACCACCCCAATCATAACAGTGATTATGTGTGTGCATGTCTGTGTGTGATTAAATGCATTTGTATTACTCACCCAGGTCTCTGAGTTTCCAACAATGTGAGTAACACTTGCGTTCCATAGACGATGCACATTTCACTCTTTTCTCCTTCAAACATGTTCTTCAATAGGGCCTCCACATTCTGCTGTCTGAAACAGCACCCGGAGACTTTAGTTTAGTTCATCGGTTCAAGCATAAAGTCCATTCCAAGACATGAAAATTGACTGAACACAGTGAAAGCGAACACACACACACTCACAGCTCTAGTGTTGTGAGCAAAGGGTCGGCCTCTGAAGCTTCCTGTAGCAGACTGGCCTGATCTCTGCTCAGACGGATGATGTCACACAGGGTCTGAGATGCGTTCGACTGCCTCTAAACACACATTTAAGTATTTGAGTCATCTTTCATGTCTATTTATTTAGATTTGTAAGATGGAATTAAATGATTTATGTCGTATAAGGACTGGGACAAAAACACAGTATAACTATCATACTTAAAGGTATAGTTTACCCAAAAATGAAATTATTAAAGTCCCCTTGGGTTGAAAATCAATCTTTTAAATGTTGTTTATATGGTGTTTTTAATATGCTTTAAAACAAACCATGTCCAAATGCATGTTAATACCGTTTCTGAGTTTTTTCTACAAAAGACAGTCTCAAAAATTTGTTAAATCGACTGTTTGGTTTCCGACATTCTTCAAAATATCTTCTTTTGTGTTTAGCAGAAGAAAAAATCATAGAGTTTTGGAAAAACATAGAATAAACTATCCCTTTTAAGGCAAGAGATTTAAATGAGTACTTAACGGTATGTATCAGACTTTGTCATGCAATTCATTCGCTAGTAAAACTCTAGTGATGTCTGACCTCATCGTCACTGCGAGGGTGTATCAGCTCAATGAGTCTCTGGATCAGCCTCTCTTCATTCAGCCACTGAAAACAGACAACATGAAAATAAAATAAAAAAATACACACAGATACAGGCGTTTATTTCGTTTGATTTTTATTAAAACTAAAGATTACAGTTTTTACTTTTTGTTTTAAGAAAGTCCCATTAAAATTGATTGTTTTTGAAAATATTGACCATTTCTTCATCATTTCATTTATGTTTTCCCCTATGCCACATTTTAAGTATAAATTCAATGCAAATTTTTAAAAAATATGAATTATTGTAATTATTAATTAACTATGATGAGATATACAAGACCTAAAATCATCAAAAACCCTTTCAATTTTATAAACACTACCATTCAAAGTTTGGGGGTCAGTAAGATTTTTTAGTTTTACCCAAGGACATTAAATTTATCAACAATGTGAGTAAAGACATTTATTGTGTTACAAAAGATTTCTATTTCAAGCAAATGCCATTTTTATAAAAACTTTCAATTCATCAAAGAATCTTGAAAAATAAAATGCATCAGTTTCCACCAAAACGGCCAAACTGTTTTAATAATAATAAATGAGCAGCAAATCAACATATTAAAATGATTTATTAATATTTCTATAATAGACACTTTGTCTTGTAAATCAGCTTGTTGAATGCACTCACACTAAGCACTTCCTGTCTGAGACAAGCAGGCTCCACGCTGCTAATGAGACGCAACACCAGATCCATCATGGCCGACGTGTCCAAGTGTTTCAACACCTGCCCTATAAAATCCTCTTTTTTCTTTAGGAAACCAATCATCTGATGAAAAAATTGAATCAACAAAGATCAGGATAAAAAAAAAACAATCATGCAAATACAAATCAATGAATTTCAAAGGAACAGAGATGCATGTTTGCGCACCTGCTCTGTCTTGCGGGTGATGAGGTTGCCAACAGTTTTACTGAAGAACGAGGCCAGTAGAGGGTTCAGCGGTGGCGTCTGCTCTAGGAAGGTATAGAGTGTCTTCAGCAGAGACTCGTCTCCACCAACTTTATCGTTGATGAGGGACACATCGCATGTCAACAACTCGCATGCTACATTAGCATACCTGCATGAGAGAAAAACATATGCAACAAGTGGATGACCAACATATCTTAAATAGATTCAACATACACTGCAAATTTAAAGATTGTAATTGTTTTATAAACACGTTGTTATACTAGTTGAAACTCTCTTCACATCCTGATAGCAATGAATAATAGGTCTGATAACAAATAATAGGTCAGAATAACAGATCTGTGGAAGTCACAGGACCAAAAATGTTCGTCGATCAATTATTGCATTTGGTCCGAATGCAATGATACAATGTCCTACACACATATCTATTTCCAAACCTCCACACACATCACACACCATCAGTGAGTTCTGTAAAACTATGAACCGTTTTCCTCGATTATCCTCCGCTTAAATCTCCACAACCGGAAATGGACGAGCATCCTTGCGTCAAATGCGGAACTTATGCGTGCATATAGCCCTTTGCTAGCCTGTCCAAAATTGCCTACCATACCTTTAATGGCAGCACAACCACATGAATAAATGTTTACTAAATTCACTGCAAAAAAGTTAAATGTGTGTTATCCATTGCAAGATTGTCGTTAAATGTTTGAATGGACAAGTCGCAACACTGTTGCTTATCATACAAGGCGGTGCAATAATCGGCCAATCTGATAATCTCAATATGGCCAAAAATCGGTTGTTTAATGGTCAAATTATTACTATTTAATCAAGCCTTGTTATGGTTAACTAAACCTATTATTAATGTATTTTAAAATCTAATAAATCTTTATATATATGAAGAGTTCAGATGCAAAAGTCTCTAAGTGCCATTTGAAATTTTCTTCTAGAATGATTATTTTTATCAAGCTTGTATATTTAAGTTCAGTGATTTCACTTAAATGGCGATGATAATTACCTATTAATTGTTATTTAAGTGAAATTACTGAACTTAAATATACAAGTTTGATAAAAATCATCATTAAAGAAGAAAATTTCAAATGGCATTTAGAGGCTTTTGCATCTGAACTCTTCATATATATATATATATATATATATATTTATATATATATATATATAACAATCTTTGAAATGAAATTTGCCAACTAACTGAAATTGGAATTGAAGTACTAAAATTACTAAAAATAAAAATAAATTCAAGCTAAATAAAAAATTACAAAATTCTAATTTCAAAAGCACACAGCTTTACTAAAACTTAAAGTAAAATAAAAAAAATGAAAACTGAAGAATTAAAAATACTCAAAATATGAATAAATACTATAACAGCATATAAATAATACTGGGATACTACACAGTCTGATTAACAAACAAATAATTTAATAATTGTTTGGATTAATTTATTCAAATTGCCATAAATTGTAAATAAATTATCTCATTAACTGTCTGATCTGTAAACCAGCCTGCTACATAATATCTAATTGGCCAAATATCGGTTGATTAAATTATGCTGTTCAAAATCTGTCAATTAATTGGACTGATTAACACCTTTTTTGTCCAAACAGTTTCAAAACTTTTATTTAAGAGGTGCTCAGAAAGTGCAGAGCATCCTTTCACTCACTTGTAGCGCACTTTCTCCTCCCGGTCAGTAGGGGGCTCGTGCGTGATGAGGTTGATAAGCTCCAGCATGCTGCTGTCTCGGGTGAGGAAGAGGAGGAGGCGCTGATTCTGGGCCTTGCACTCCTGTAGCACATCATCTTCATCCAGCAACTCCTGTAGGGTCACATCCTCCTTCTCCAAGAGCTTATCAACTTGAGATGAGTTGTGTAGGTCAAACTTCCAGAACATGACTGCAGCCTATAGAAGAAAGAAAGAGCGCCTGAGACAGACAGAGAGAGGATGTTAGTTACTCAAGCTGATGTTTTTAAAGGCTTTGCTAGCCTCTTGGTTTACCAAAAAGTCAAATTAGAAAATGCACCAGTAAAAAAGTGAATAGTAAAATAAAATACAGAGCAGGTGAAGGATCAACAGCAACTGTTAAACATTAGCGAGTCAGCTGTAATTACACTCTTGATGAGCAGCTAAAGAATCAATTGCACCAGTCAATTAAAGACTATTAGCTGATCTAATTTCATTTGCCTTCAGGTTGAACTGTACCACACTGAATCTTACATTGCTTAAATGTTTAGAGATGCACTTATCATTCTGATCTTTTACAAGCAAATTGGCCAATTGCGATACCGGTATTACCATCTAAACTTTTCTGAAGACTGTCAGTTGCCTTCAGAGATACATTCATATAAACCCCAACACCAATTCTTCCTATATTTCATGCATCGTAAACAATAAGCTTGTTGTGCCTAATACGGCATTTTCTCTGCTGCATTTTCATCTTTGTATTTGTCTTTGGTGTGTCCCATCGATTTCAGGCATGTGATAACACGTTTAAAGACTTAGTAATATTTCAACACTAGGGATGGCCCGATAACACTTTTTTCAAACCAATACGAGTACGAGTATTTACATTTGTGTACTTGCCGATACCGAGTATCGATACCGATATTTCTCCCGTAAAAGTAACTTTAGGCTCCCAGAAAACAAGACGGAAGACTATTTTAGAACACAGGTTAGAAGATTGTTTTTATTTTCTGTTTTTAACTTTACATTTTCCGTCGGAAAATGCGATTTTCTAGGCTGATATGAGGCTATACTCTCATTCCTGCATAATAATCAGGAAACTTCACTGTCGTACCATGAGTGCAGCAGGCGTAATGATACGACGCAGCGCCTGAAAATAGTGCCCAGCTTCAGACGTGACCGGGACTAAGTTTGTGTAGTCATCGCGCCTGCTTCACTCATGGTACGGCAGTAAAGTTTCTTGATTATTACGCAGGAATGAGAGTATAGTTCCTAGTCATATCAGCCTAGAAAATCACAACTTTACATTTTCCGTCTGTCTTCGTGCACGATGTTACTATAGAAGAGTCAAGTTTTAAATAGGAAAAATATCGAAACACTTTGGTAATTTTTTTGGGAGAAATGCTAATGGTCTTGTGCACTTCAATGATGTATGCTAAGCTATGCTAAAAGTGGTAACGCCAGAACCGGAGATCTGCTGAATGGATTCAAAAAAGGCAAAACTCAACAGTTTAACTCTGGGGGGGTTGTAAAATGAGCGTATTTCCAAAATAAGTGGAGTATCCCTTTAACTATGCCTCAGTCCACCTCGACAAAGCACTCGCGGCGGCCAGTTTCGTTTAACAAAATGTACATGGTATCGGCAAATACCACGAGTATGAGGACAGTATCGGCCCGATCCCCGATGCAAGTATCGGTATCAGGCCATCCCTATTCGACACACGTTGTAGGTTGCTAAAGGCTGCAATGAATATGGAAGGAATGCTGCAATAGAAAATCTAAAAATATCTCAGTGTTTGTACTCAACATTTCAAAATGGATGACCACAAACAGTGTTTCAGGCCAAAAGGAGGGGAAAAACTGAAAGAGAGCAAAATACTGTCGCATACAACAAAAGCTGTTGCCATAGTATTCCATTTTTACCATATAGTAGACATATCACGATACCATGATAAACCTACACCTTACAATTACTGTTCTGTTAATAACTCTCAGTCGATCCGACTATCCATGGGCGAGGATACAAAAATGCGGAAGTACTGTATAATCTGTAGTTTTCACGAAAGCCCTGGAGCTGTCAAAAGTCACGTCATCAGGTGAACTTTTGCTGACAAATAAACATGAATTTCTCTATCCAGGTAACAGAGAACGAGTAAAAAATTGTTCGTTTACATACTACCAGCATTGTAACAATTCAAACTCAAAGTGGTTTGAAAATCAGCAAAGTTACACTTTAAGCACTAAATACCTTGAGGGAGATAGTGCGTTTCCTTGGTTGGGATGCAGAGACCAGTTTACACACATTGGTTTCCTAGATTGAGTGGTCAGTGGTCAGATAACCCACCCATCCACAAGGGCTGCCTTACATTACAACACAGGCACCTGTAAGGACAAAGACAAGTCATCAGGAAAGGACTGAGGACAAGTGAGGAAAACAGTGATGAGTGGTGGTGAGGAAAGAATGCCATGTCACATCACGTTCTGTATTATGACTAGGACTCGTGATGAATAATCTCTTGTTTAAAACACACATGAAGGTGTTCACACAGCTACAGATAACAGCATGTTCCATTTTAGTCTTTTAATGGGATTAATCAGCAGTATGCAGCAGGTCAACTAGCCTATACCACATCATACAGTCTTACAGACCATTACTGCACTGCATATATTACAACACATTTATATAGAGCGCACTCACAGTGAGAAATACTTAAAACTAGAGGAAAGCATATATATATATATATCAATTTTTATGACTTATCCAGCACTAGATAGAGTTAGAACAAGACAGACAAAACTGTTAGATTGTAGTTCAAATGTATACAAAAATAAATATAAAATTTAAATATAGGCTAAATGTTGCCGTCTAAACATACATCTCTCTACTGTTTAAAATTGTATTGTTATTGTTATTTAATGTTATTGTGTAAAGCGAGGTTAACATTATGAACATCAATCAGCAAATACTAACTTAATTGAAATCTTGTGTGTATGGTGAACGTAAGGATGCTACAGAGATCATGTATGTGTGATCATCAAATCATACAGTCCACACACACACACTTCAGGCCCACGCGTACTACGTGTGTGACAGGGCTACGGGCATTCAATGAAAATCAGACGACTGTATGAAGATAACGTTATTTTTCACTAAAATACGTAACGTTATTTATCTTAACGAGGCGAAATCAAATTCCTCATTCAAGATCAATGTCAGAGAGACACACAAACACACCGGCCTCGCTCAATGTCACTGCCCACAACCCAATCAAAACGCAGAAGCGAGACTCGAAACACCAATCAAATAGCTTAGAATTTGCATGCCGGTTTACTGGATATTGCAAAGCATTATAAATGCCTCCACTGTCAAAAGCTTTTAAATCGTATTAAACTTGTTTATTTGTAAACAAACATCATCAAGAGCCCAAGAATGTCGAGGCAGTTACTACGTACAGCTGTCGTATTTGATCTCAGAATATATGATAGGTGCATACACTTCAAGGTGAAAAGGCATTACTATTTAACATAGTCATCATGGTATATTGTTAATAATTGCTCATGTCACGTGAGTCAATATGCAGGACATAAACGCATCTGCACTCTTCATCAGAGACGATCGACCAGCATATGAACGCACATACATAGTAAAAACAGCATTAATGTGAACAAATAATCTGCTCTGAACTTAACTTACCAGAAACACTTTAAGATGTCAGACAAACAAACAGCAATCTGTGATAAGACCTGTTCTGTACGGTGTCAAAGGGCGAGGGGAGATGTGAGATATTTGTTACGATACATCGTCCTGCATCCATAGATCCCCAAACGTCCTACCTCCTCCAGCAACCCCGCTTCAGCACTGGCTGGCCCCTTCAGAGCTTTAAACTGTTAGCAGAAAAAGATTTGGACATTATTTCTCAAGTCAAAATGGCCGACAAGGAGACGTGGACGCGCACGCTGTGTGTGAACGCGCTTGGGCGATCGGATCGATTTAGTTTTATGGGAAGAGTAAAATATTGCTAAATTAATTTATGACAATTTATAAAGTTGTATATGATATAAATATAAAAGTAGGTCAAAAATCTAATATAAAATGTTTTTTTTTCACCCACCAGGTTTTAGGAAGGAAATACTCAACTGAATTTGAAATGTAATTTTTTAAATATATATTATATTAGTATGTTACGCAGTGATTGTAACTTTTTAAACGTTTTTTTTAAAAAAAACCTTTTACTACTGGATACCAAAAACACAATTTCAATGTTTTATTTATTATTTATTTTACTTTTTGTAAAAAAAAAAAAAGAAAAAAAAAGAAAAAAGAAAAAGGGAAAAAGGAAAAAATAAATAAAAAAGGTGAACAGCTGAATACATTGTACATGGCCAGTATATTAAAATATTAGCACAAAATATGATTTTTTTTTATTAGTAATTAACTATTGAATTTAGGATATTCTAAAGACAAAATAGACATTTAAAAACAGATGCATACAGTATAGGTGTTTAATCAAAACTGTATTTGTGAGAGACATACAATGACACTGTAAAAGCAAATAACGAATATTATATTAATATATTACGCAGTGATTGTAACTTTTTAAACGTTAAAAAAAATCTTTTACTATTGGATACCAAAAACACAATTTCAATGTTTTATTTATTATTTATTTTACTTTTTGTAAAAAAAAAAAGAAAAAAAAGGAAAAAATAAATAAAAAAGGTGAACAGATGAATACTTTGTACATGGCCAGTATATTAAAATATTAGCACAAAATATGATTTTTTTTATTAGTAATTAACTATTGAATTTAGGATATTCGAAACTGTATTTGTGAGAGACATAAAATGACACTGTAAAAGCAAATAACGAATAAATGAAATATAGAACAGATCGTAGTAGTAGAATAAACATAGATTACTGTTAATCAATCACTGTGGCGCAGAGAACAAGCGAGCGCGCGCACTGTGCTTATGCACGCAACTGACGCGGTGGCGCGCACGTGACGTCACGTAGCCGGCTTTTCTCTCTCTCCGCTCCTCCTCGCGCAGCTGCTGCTCTGGTCTGCAGACATGGCGAACGTCGTAGACACTAAACTCTACGACATCCTCGGAGTATCTCCGTCAGCCACCGAAAACGAGCTTAAAAAGGTAGAGACAGACCTTTCCGCCCCGCGCATCGTACAATAACAAAACCAAAGATGCGCGTGACGTGGGATGCTGCATGTTGGGGGAGCAGCCACTGTGTGTTTTGCAGGTTGTTGAGATCCTCCAGTGTGGCCTTTCTTTGGATCTGGAAATAATTTGGGGGAGGGTTTGAAATATACATACGTTCAAATATGTAGTTTGTTTACTATGTGTATTGCTGTAAAGTGTCCTTGTGCTGTGTGAGCATCAGCCAGGTGCTGCAGACAGATGAAGGTGCTTCTTGCTGTTCAAAAGCTTTACAGTGGAAGGGGATGCTTAGCTTACAGCTGCTGTGTCGAACCTGAGCTGGTATCTGATATGTAGCTAATGAGTTCGAAATGGTTAATGCAGCATTAATGCCTTGTTTTAGGGATTTAAAAAAAAAATGAATCGTCATGTTTGTTTTTAGTCCTTTGTTAGAAGGTGAACGGGCTCTGGCCTTGATCCCCATGTTGCCTGCGTGTTATGCTGGCTTTTTGTTGTTGTTTGATTGTGTCCACAAAGTATTTCAGAAAGCACAGCAAGACCAAAAATAAGGCCAGATATGTTGATTTATGACACAGTAGATACATAAAATAACCACTAATGTGAATTCAAAGTCACTAGGTCTAAGAAAATGCACAATCCATGGAATGTGCTTAGTGAAAAATAGTCCTGTTCTTGCATGGTTGTGAAATCAGCTTGTTTTGAACTGTCAAATGTGGAGAAAATTGGGATCTTCACCTCCATGCTCAATTTTTCAATGGGTTTTCAATGACACATTAAAGGCTCAACCAAATTCTCTCATTAATTTATTGCCCTCATGTTGTAAGCCTTTCGTTCATCTTTGGAACACAAAAGATTTTTGATGAAATCTGAGCTTTCTGACCCTCTATTGACAAGTTCATAAAGGGATCGTAAAACGTCCATCAATCCATATGAATTGAGTGGTTAGTCAAAATTTTCTGAAGAGATTAATGAACAGATTTAATTTAGTCTTTCATTCAATTTAAAAAAATATTTTACCTTTATTTTACCAGGGAATAAAATTACACAAGTGAGCCCTGGCCAAGAAGGCAGCACATAGAAGTAACAAACAAAACAAGGGATGCACATGAATATAAAAATAATAACAGAAAATCACATTTCAAAACAATCGCGAACATGTTGATAAATTTGATTTAGGTAGACTTGAATTCACTATGTGAAATAAAAACCTGCAATTTTAGCTGATTTTGGAACTTATTCCATGAAGTAAGACATTTTTTACAGTCTATGGTTCATCATCCACACATCCAAACATGACAGCGAACATGCCGAACCTGCTTGACGCACGAGAACAAACCTCTTGCGGAAGCTCAAACACACGAGAATGAACCTCTTTGGTTCTCGCACGTCAAGCCAACATGCTTGAGCTTCTGTTTAACACAACTGTGGGTTGATGAATGTTTATGTGAATAAAAGCCTAAATTCAATCTGTTCATCATATAAAGTGATTATGTCTCTTCAGAACATTTTGGACTAAACCGCTCAAATCATAAGGATTAGTTATGATCTATATGAACTTTTTGAAGCATCAAATTGGTAGTTGCATAGCTGTCAATGGAAGAGGGATAGTCTAATGGTAGATTTTCTTTTTTGGGTGAACTATTCCTTAAATAATAATAATAATAGATCTATAGCCAAATGTAAAGGATGTTGATGAAATATTATGCATTGTGACATGATAGTACATACTAGTAACACTGATTAGAAAAGAGTTATGTTTTTAATATGTTTTGTGGCCCTCATTGAATCTTTTTTGACTTTCTAAAAATTCATTTGTCAAACTGCAGGAATATTTAAAATGTTTAAATGTGTTTGTACATTTTCATTTAATTACTTATTTAATCATACATACTTTAAAAAAGAATTAGAAAATAATAAATAATAATGGATTAAACATTTTGTTCCAATGTGCAAGGGTGTTTGCTATTTCATTATGTTGTAACTTTTTGATTTAATTTAACTTTAAATTTCTTAGATATTCTAGCTTCTATGGTGCTGGTCCCCCTTTCAATGTAAATCAATGAGAATTTAATATTTATCAGACTCAAACAACATTGATTATGGGAATTAATAATAGTAATATTTGGTACATCAACACGAATTAGTGAGGTTTTGTGATTTCTATTTTCAGGCATACAGGAAACTAGCTAAAGAGTACCACCCTGATAAAAACCCCAATGCAGGTGACAAGGTGAGAATGGAAGAATAATACAAAATTTGGAAGAATAATACAAAATTTGACCTTTTTGTTAATTCAATATTTTTGTGTTAGTTTAAGGAGATCAGTTTTGCATATGAGGTGCTTACTAACCCGGAGAAGAAGGACTTGTATGACCGGTATGGAGAACAGGGTTTGCGCGAGGGTGGTGGTGGTGGAGCCGGAATGGAGGACATCTTCTCTCACATCTTTGGTGGAGGTCTGTTCGGCTTTATGGGCGGCCAGAGCACCAGGAACCGGAACGGTGGCCGACGGAGAGGAGAGGACATGATACATCCACTGAAGTGAGTGAATATAAAAACAAAACCTCTGCTTTTTTTTCTGGAAAACCTGAGATGTTGAAAAATAAAGTAGTTAAAGATGGCAAATTATTCTATGCATGACCTATTTTTAAGTCAGCATGAAAATCAAAATTGAGTTTTTTAAATGTTATTGATCTGTGCACATTATTCCAAAGAATAATGTGAAAGAAATTCCGAAGCAGTGAGTTATAATTTAAAATGCATAAAAAAGTTCTATATATTTTTCAACTTTTTTTTTGTTTAAATATCTAATAGAGTGTCTTTGGAAGATCTGTACAATGGAAAAACAACCAAACTACAGCTAAGCAAGAACGTACTCTGCAGTGCCTGCAGTGGGTGAGTGTTTTAAGCTGGATTTTATGCAACATCTTTAAGGATTATAAAAATTAATGAGGACCTGGCTATATGTATTAGTTTTTGGTGTCTACTAGAATAGGTTTTCATGCGTGAATGTTAAAAAACAAATAATTTTTCACATACTTTACATTTAAAGTATTGCAGCTGCACTTCTCTTCTGAGCCAACTAAAACTGCAAGTTCCGCAGTCATTAGCATAGTTCAACAACCCAGTGTTTCCCAAAATAATTGTTCCAATGAACATTCGCAAACGCCATTGTAAAGATGTGTGTTTGGAATGACAGCATAGTTTCTAGTTTGTATGACACATGGACTTAAGTCCTTATCTTGAGCAAAATAAGCAAGCAGACATTCAGTACAGTCATATTTTTTATTTTGAATACACACAAATGGCATTTACTTCATTTAGTTTGGCAAGAGATTTAAAGTGCTGTTTTTGGAAGAGTGCGCGTGTGCTTTAGTACGCAAGACTAGAAAACATATCAAAATTCTCAGATGCCATGTCTGTAATTTATAGTAGAAAATATAGCATTAATTCGATTCATTAAAATAATTTTTTTACTCCACTGCCTGCGTGACATCATTAACCAATATGGTTGAACGAAAATTTTGCAACAGTGCGGTTTCGGGAAACAGTTGTGACTAGCCGGTTGATTTCTACAACGACGCATCGTACTATGTTAGTTAAGCAGTGAGTTAAGTCATTCTACGGGAAACACAGCCATGCTTAGTAGGGGTGTGATTCGATACATATCACGATACTGAACTCTCGATATGATATTCTTGTGATACTCCAAGTACATGATAAAAGGTTTGCAAAAAAAATAGTGTTGGTTAAAAAAAAAAAGCTAAATTTACTTTAAAAAATTTTAATTACTTTGTGAGTGTAAATAAATAGGCTTGGATTTGGTGCTGGTAATACAATGCACAGGACAATTATAGACATCAGAATAATAGTATTCATGATTCTGAAGCTGAAAATACAGGATTATTTTAGACGAATATGCTCGCACTCTATCAATGACTAGACATATTTAAAACAATGTAGGCCACTTTTTACTGGTAACATAAGACACTTGGTATTATCAGTGGAGGACCTGGCAAAATGACCCCATTGCATTATTATACATTATATTCAATCTTATATAGTAGTTTAAAGTAGTACTGACACTACATTTTTATTTTGGGTGAACTGTCCACGATACATATTGTTGCATTTTTGTATTGCGATATATTGCTACACCCCTAATGTTTAGCTAATATTTCTGTAAAGCCCCTCCTTTCAAAATGCGCAATGTGCTCTGATTGGTAGGCTGGATCAGTGTGTTGTGATTAGTCAGCCACTTTCAGAGTGTTTCTTAAATGTCACATCCTATAACCATGTTTCAACAGGCCTCACCCCTTTATTTTGCGTATGCCTTGGGTGGGAATATCCACCTTTTTCTGCACCCATTCTATTTCCCATGATTCATAGCGGGTTCAACTGACTAAACGTTTTTTTACTTCCGTTTGAAGTATTTGTTTACATAGAATGCTAACAGTCCAGACATTAGAAAAATATCAGTCTACACATTTAGTTTTATATTTAATGTGAGCGAAATACACATTACACAACAAATCTTTAACTTTTAGGTGGCAAAATAGTTTTTAGTACTTCTATGAATGACACTGCGCAAAACAAAAGTAATAGCCTACTAACCGGATGAAGAAGGGTCGGCCTCCACAGAACATAAAATATTCTTTTTATTTTATTTTTTCGTGTTCGTATTTATGAGAAGAAAAAAGAAAACAATGTTACGGATGTGACAGTTCTCCATTACGGACATAACCGCCTTTCTTTAAAGTGAATTTCGTTTTTTATTAATTGTATCTTAATTTCAGTCAATGTTTCATTAACCAATTGCCTGGTTTTAATAAATAAGAAGTAAATATAGTAGAAAATAGATCATCATGACGGAGACGCCGGCACGCAAACTGGACTCTGGTCTCATAAATGAACCGAAACTCGGCGTATAATGTAGCCTACTCTCGTCACAGGCCTGAGAAATATATAGACTTACTATGCAGTCGGGGTGATAGAAACTGTCGGATGTTCATGTATTGATTCAGATTCGAACCGGAAGTTGGCAACCGACGTCGTCGTCATGGCAGCTCGTATTGTTTAGAGTAGAATAAGGTGAATAATTAAATGAGGAATATTGTGATGCATAACATTATTGTGATTTTCTTATGATGCGTAACATAACACTCTAAAGAAAGCTTATAATGGTGTTCTCATTATAATTTTATGTAGCCTATATGACAGACTTGGGCATTACATTTTCTTATCGGGCCGATAACATCAACATATAAAATGAACACACTTTGGACGGCCGATACCAAAATGGTGGCCGATATATCGTGTATCCCTACAGAAAACACCTTTTACCTTCTTAACTCTTCATCTTCCTCAGTCAAGGGGGTAAAACAGGGGCTGTGCAAAAGTGCGTCACGTGTAGGGGCCGTGGCATGCGGATCATGATCAGACAGTTGGCTCCTGGCATGGTCCAGCAGATGCAGTCTGTGTGCACCGACTGCAACGGAGAGGGTGAGAATTCAGTACTATTCATTGTTTTTATGGAGTGCACATGATTTGTGATGGCCTAAATTCAACATTTTAATACTTGGTTGTGTTTGTAGGGGAGGTGATCCACGAGAAAGACCGCTGTAAAGAGTGTGACGGCCGTAAGGTGAATAAAGAGGTGAAGGTCTTGGAGGTCCACGTGGATAAAGGAATGAAACATGGACAGAAGATCACATTCACCGGAGAGGCAGACCAGTCGCCCAACACAGAGCCTGGAGACATTATACTGGTGATGCAGGAGAAAGATCATGAGGTAAACACACACACAAAGAGCACAAAAGAGATAATAGTTGGACTCTAAATAACAACTTTTTTTTTTTACCTTTTTTTTTACGAACAAAGTTACCCCCATGAACACTGACAAATTTTAATTTGTCATAACTGAAAATAAATATAAACAGATATACACAAGAGAAACCAATACACAAACATAAATAATACATAAATAATGATGATAAAATAAAAAAAAAATGTATTATCAGTTAATGGTTACAGTAATTACACAACTTTTTCAATTTTCTTCCTTAGATAAATGTGTACATTGAAGTCTATGAATGTATTCTGTAGGTTATATATAATATATAGGTTACAATAAAGTCACAAATTAAGTTTGAAAGTTGCAGTACAGTTTAAATTAAGTTACCAAACAACAGGCTGAGAATTACTAAATAAATAACATTTATATTATACCCTGGTAAAATAACTGCTCATAAAAACATTACTTGTGCTGCATACATATTTAAAATTTTTATTAGGATTAATGATGTTGAAGCATGAATATTGTTTTGATAAATGATAGTTCACATTGTTTCATTATACTGTATACTGAAGAAATGGAGCAAGCAGCATTTAATCACTTTCTGGCTATTGGGATGTGCTGTTTTGCAGAATGACAATATTTGCATTATAGAAATATAAGATTACAATGCCAGTAATTGCATTTTCCACTACTTTTAAAGAACAAAACGTTCGGTATGACGTCTTTGTATGCAGGAGTTCCGTCGTGATGGAAACGACCTGCACATATGCCACAAGATTGGCCTGGTGGAGGCGCTCTGCGGATTTCAGTTCATGCTCACGCACCTTGATGGACGGCATCTCGTCATCAAATATCCCCCAGGCAAAGTCATAGAGCCAGGTGAGCGCAGGGTTTTTTTTTTTGTTCACAGGTTATGTTCTTGTTTTTATAGAATATTTGCTAGAAATTGTCCTTTGTCAGGTTCTATAAGGGTCGTCCGGGGGGAAGGAATGCCTCAGTACAGAAACCCGTTTGAGAAAGGAGATCTGTTCATCAAGTTTGACGTCCAATTTCCTGAGAACGGCTGGATCAGCACAGAGAAGCTAACGGTGAGTTTCCAGCAGTGTTGATGTCGTTGACTAAAACTATTAAACGCTTACATTTATTGAAATAAAGCTGAAATAAAATACAAATAATAAATAAATAAAAATTCGACTTATACGTAATGAAATGAAATAACACAAATACACTAAAAATATACAAGAAAAATAAATATCAATTAAATACTATAATAGTATATAAAAAACAATGGTTTTCAAAAGTACACGCGTATTAGGTAAAATTGTTAGGTTTTCACCTTAAAGGGTTAGTTCACCCAAAAATGAAAATTCTGACAGTATTTCCTCACCCTCATGTTGTTCAACCCTGTAAGACATTCGTTCATCTTCGGAACACAAATTAATTGAAACTTGCCGGCCTCGAAAAGTTATTAAAGACATCGTTAAAATAGTCCAAGTGACTACAGTGGCTCAATCTTAACTTTATCAAGCGACGAGAATACGTTTTGTGCACAAAAACAAACAAAAATAATGACTTTATTTCAACTAGATTGAAATACTTTTAAAGGCTTACTCACTGTTTTCATGTCTGTGTCTGTTCATACAGGAGTTGGAAGATCTGCTGCCGTCACGCACAGAGGTTCCTGTCATCTCAGCGGATGCGGAGGAAGTGGATCTGCAGGATTTTGACCTCAGTCAGGGATCAGCAGGCAGTCACCGCCGTGAAGCTTACAACGACAGCTCTGACGAGGAAGGGGGTCCGCATGGTCCGGGGGTGCAGTGCGCCCACCAGTAGTCCCACAATTCTTTGCAAGTTTTGTTTGGGGAAGTGTTTAGATTCCCTTTTGTCGGACAGATTCCATCCTCACCCTCCACGTTTAATCATATAGTGAACCGAACACACACTCACACACTTGCAGTATATATAGACATACACTTACACTTGCATTATTTACTGCAATCTCACATGCAAGTAAACTCATTCATGTGCCATTTTAAAAGAAAAGACAAGCATAACTAGAGGCAAAGCAAAATAATTTATTCTCTACTTTCATTTCCATTGTAGACATTCACAGTATATATGCTCTCTGAATATATAAAACGCAACGTCTGTGGGGAGGCAGACTGTGTTGTTTAAGTTATAATTAACACGCACGCACGCACACTTTTGTTTTAAAAGACTGAGGCATTGTGCAGTTTTCTGGAGTTCAATAAAATGTTCAAACGTGTTTCATTATATACTTGCCAGGTATTCAGGCATTGTCAGTCATCTTGTACTAATAATTCAGAGGAAGTGCTGGTTTCTATTCAATGGCAGGACAGGATAACATGCATGTGGGCGTCATACTGAGTGAGATGAATACAAAGCAAATCAAACCCCAAAAGTGTTTTAATGTGCTCACTGTCTATGGTAAAGTCATGCAATTTATTATTTGCCAAAGAAACACAACAGTCTTCTTAAAAGATCAACAGCCAATGTGTGTGCATGCATTGTAAGCACTAATATAAACTTATAGGGGGTGGCATTTATCCTTGGCAATTAGGAAAGTGTTTGAACCTTGAACAAAAGTTGCTATCATTCAAACAGTTACTTTTGTGCTCCTACATCAATAAAGTTGATGAATGTTTTACTGTGTGTTCTGTATGTTTGTGGAAATGGGTTTCAGTATGAACTAGTGTCCTTCTTCGGTTTCGGTCATACGTTGAGCTGTGGGCGCAAGAAGCTCTTTAAATCCAGCTGTATTTCTATAAAACCAAAACAAATAGATTACTGCAACTTTCTTTTTGTGCTAGAGAGAACCTCATGATTTTATTAGCATATTTCTGGTGAATCACCATTGGCTGTTTCGTGTGGAAGCCGCACAGAAAAGTAAAAAGGTAATTGTGGGTTTATATACTGATGCAATTCTGACTGAGTTTATATCTCACAATTGTGAGAAGAGAACAAAATCAGAAATGCACAAAAAATAGCCACAGTTACCTCTTGTATTTTTTTATTCTGTGGCAGAAACAAGCTTCCATATAATTATGGCTTATCATCATTTCAAAAGTCATTGAAAGTATCACTTTCAACTTTTAATACAATTATGGACTTATGCCATAATTATCACTTTCTATATCATCATTTTGACATTTCATATCACAAATATTACTTAGTATGTCATAATTTGAACTTTTTATATTATAATTTTACTTTATTTTAAGGTGACACAGTAGTTACATGTTACTACATGTACTTACTATAGTAATAACAGTAAATTATGCATAATTACAAGTAAACAAACGTCTATAGTAAGTACACATAGTTAATTAAAATTACTTTGTACTTACTCAAATATGTACTATATAACTATTTTAAAGTAGTTCACTTTTAAAAAAAACTTTTGCTGATAATTTCCTCACCCCATGTCATCCAAGATGTCCATGTCTTTGTTTCTTCAGTCGAAAAGGAATTAAGGTTTTTGATCAAAACATTCCAGGATTTTCTCCATATAATGGACTTCATTGGGAACCAAACGGTTCAAGGTCCAAATGAGATTTTCAGTGCAGCTTCAAAGGGCTTTAAACGACACCAGACGATGAATAAGAGTCTTATCTAGGACCCTTAGAGACATGACTCGAAAAAAGATTTGTTCATTTTGATGAACGAGTTTGAACAGGAGAGTCACGAACGCGCATCTCGGAACAGAGCAAGGCGAGCATTTGTGCTTATAAAACTTAAACTTTTAAATTTATTTTTTAAATGACCGATCGTTTTGCTAGATACGACCCTTATTCATTGTCTGGTGTCGTTTAAAGCCCTTTGAAGCTGCACTGAAAATCTTATTTGGACCTTGAACCATTTGGTTCCCAATGAAGTGCATTATATGGAGAAAATCCTGGAATGTTTTCATCAAAAACCTTAATTTCTTTTCGACTGAAGAAAGAAAGACATGGACATCTTGGATGACATGGGGGTGAGGAAATTATCAGCAAAAGTGTATTTAAAAGTGAACTACTCCTTTAATGTCATAATTATGATTTACCATACAAAGCATTTTTTTTTTGGAAATGGGCTTCCATAATGTGGTCCATAAGACTTAGGAGATCAGGAACAAGAGTGAATAATTTAATTTGTTCTGGTGATCACTATCAGAACGAACTAGCCTAGCATATGTGCGTACATGTTACCTCTCTCGTCTGGTCTGGAGAATGCAGGAGCGTTCTCTTCTCATTTGCTGGAGTTTTTCTCTTACTAAAGTTTTCTGTTGTAGCTCATCCTCCTAGAACATTCAATCAACATTTACATCATGTCCACACAGTGGTGTGTGAAAGAATGCACATGAATTATTTGTGTGTACCTGTCGTAGTGTGTCAGTCAGATGCCTGAGTGTGTCTTCCTGCGTCAGGCCCAACAGATCTTCATCTGCCTTCCGACTCTGGACGATGGCCAGTCGCTCTTGAACCTCAACAGATCAAAACAATTTACCTGCATTTCAATAGTCAACTATAAACTTTTTCGCTCTTTAATGTCAACATGAAATCAAAAGTGACCCTGTTTACCTATTTAAATTTACATTCCTAGTCTTACCGTGCGGATTTGGCAGTGAATATCCGGTTTCACCCAAAAACGTCATATTTGAAAGTAAAATGGGTTATGAATTCAATAAAGGTCATTAAAAAAGCATAGGATATGGGCTTTTTTAACAAAATATTCTGCAAATCATTAAATTAAGCCAAATTTCTGCCACATAATGAAAAATTTATTCTTTGGTCAATCCTAATTATGACATAAAGGCCCTGTTTTACAGACAGACAGGGCTTAGATTAATCCAGGATTAGGCCTTAGTTCAATTAGGACATTTAAGTAGCTTTTATAAACGTGCCTTAGAAAAAGAAGAAAACATTAGTGGTGTGCATCTTGAGACTATACAATGGCAGAGACATAGTTTAAGATATGACAGAACTTTCAGTTAAAACAACTCAAAAATGCATTTTAGGGACTAGGTTTAAACCCTGTCTGTGAAACGGGAAAAAGTCTAAATTAGGAGAAATTATGAAATATCATAATTATGAGATAAGAAGTCAAAATTATGGCATAATCATTATGATCAGTCAAAAATATGAGATAAATAAGTCAAAATTCTAATAAAAAGTCATAATTATGACAAAATATTTTTTGTCAAAAGAAAATTTAAACCTCATTATGACTTCATAACTTTGACTTTATCTCATAACTGTCTAGTAGTATCTCATAATTCTGTGTTTTATTATCTCATAATTCTGGCTTTTCTATCTCATAATTTGAGATACTTTTATGTATTATGACTATTTTTCTCATCATTTTTACATCTTTTTCATCTCATACACTTTTTTTCATCTCATATTTGTGATCTGTTTCTCATGTAAACAAATAAGCTTCCATAAATATTGTGAAGCATTCCAATATTATTATGCAGATGGCACAGATGAGTTTGCTCACTCTGAGTAGTTGTCTGTCTCTGTCCCGTTGCCAGCGTCGCTCTGCTTTCCTCTGGATGTCCACAAGGCAGCGCATGGTGGCGTCCCGCTGTAACTGCTGCTCCTCACCCGCTCTCTCACAGATCTCCTGGTTCCTCTGCTCCATCTCATGGGTCTCCAATGTTTGCGTGGGTTCAGCGTCTGGGAGATGGATACTTTCTGGTGGCTCAGTGTTTTGCAGCAGCTGTGTAGGTGTTGAGTCGGGCTGATGGGTGTCCCCGAGAGATTTCCGTGTGAACTCTCCATCTCTTATATCCTCCTGTTGCTGCCCAGCCTGGAAAAAAACAACAAAAAAACATGTATAATTATTGTGAAATAAAGATTCCTTGTGATTTCAGATTTCAAAGACAAAGATATTCAGAGAAAAACACTGGATATTGACTGTAGCCTATTTATTATGTTTGTTTTGTTTCAGTTACAGCTTTAATTCTTGGGTTTGAGAAATACACTTTAAAATTGAAAAGTAGTATTGTTGTTAGTATTATTATTTTCAACATGCTTTAACCCCTTAACGCCTGAATTTATATAGCTGTATATAAAAAAAATGTTTTATGTGTGTTTTTGCCTTTAAGTAGATGTTAAATAATGTTGAGATTATCAATTTCACTTTTGCACAACAAATAAATCGAAATTTTGGTATGTTGCAAATCTGCAACAGCGGGCATAATGGTCAATTTGGGATGTTGCAAATCTGCAACAGCGGGCATAATGGTCAATTTGGTATGTTGCAAATGTTCCTGACCGGAGTAATCCTCGTGCGTAAACAGGAAATAAGTCCGTCACTTTGCGGTCCCACTAGAAACAAGTGCTTGTCGAAGGTCTTAGGTCCGTAGCGAATATGCACTACTAACCGGCATTGGGGGAATGCAGACGTTATCTCAGCTGGTTGACTGAGTCAAAGGGTTTGTAGCATATTTGTGACAGTGGGCGTTAAGGGGTTAACTTTTATGTTAAGTTTAAGTTTTAAGAACCCCTGGGGAGACCTTCAGGGGGTTTCTGAGATTATGTAAAAAATACTAAACTGGGAACACTTTACAATACGGTTCAGTAGTTAACTAACATGAACTAACAATTAGCAAAACATTTGTTGCAGTATTTATTAATATTTGTTAATATTTGTTAATAAAAATCCAGCTGTTCATTGTTTGTTCATGTTAGTTCACAGTGCATTAACTTACAGTATGTTAACAAATGCAACCTTTGATTTTAACAATGTATTAGTAAATGCTGAAATTAATATTAACTAAGATGCTGTAGAAGTATTGTTCACTCTTAGTTCATGCTAACTAAGGTATTTAACTAAGCCTTATTGTAAAGTTTTACCACTAAACTAACAAACTAAACCTAACTTAACTAACTAAAAAAAGACAAAATAAATACTTAAAAATGTTTCATTAAAATGTTAATAATAAAATACTACCTGAGTAACCTGCAAAAAATGTGAAAATGTTGTAATATTCATATCTTTTGAAAATGTTGTGCATTATTACAATCACAAGTAGACATTTTATATCACAGGTTTTCATCTAACAAACAAACAAACAAATAAAAAAGGCTGAAAACCCAGATCTGTTTCTAATTTTACATATCATAAAAAGCAATACAGTTAAGGTTCAAAGTAATTGGAAGTGACTCTTACTGGGATGAAGCCTGAATGGTCTTGTTGGATCAGTGTCTGTGTCTCTCCTTTCTCACTATCTGAATGCGTTTCTTCATACTGTGCACTTAGCTGCAGTGAGACAGAGCTTATGTTCTCCTGGTGTGTGTAGATGTTCACATCATGTGGATTTGTGTCAGGGACTTGTGTGTTATTATCTCTATCCTCCTGCACTGTAATGGAGACGGCCTCTTCTTTCTGTTGAAGAGTCACTTCCTGTAGAAATCAAACCTTTCCATGTATAAATGAACAGTTTGAAGTGATTTAACACAAAAGAGTGCATGTGTGTTTTGCATGTGTACCTGAATGTGATTGTCTCCGTGGGTTGGTTTGCTCCAGGCCAATGTGATCAGAGAGTTTTGTTTCTCCACTGAAATCTGCTCATGGTCTCCTTTGCTCTTAATGTCTCCTTCTTCTCTTTTTCCGTCTCCGTCCCTCGTCTCCATCATGCTCACTTCATTTCTTGGGTCTTTGACACACACAATCTCTAAATATGGAGTATCTTCTGGATCTAAAACCATGCCACATCCTTCAAACACAGAAATACAGAATAAATGCTTTGCTTAACAAGTTAAAGCAATAATGTATATACTACCATCAAAAGGGGGTCAGTAAGAATTTCTTTTAAGGAAATAATTTTATTCAGCAATTTGTCATTTACCAGTGCAGAGTTCTTGTTTTTCGCCATCTGACAGCTCTTCATGCTCCTGTTCAGACCCCTCTCTCTCCTAACAGAGATAGGAAACTGTTACTCACCTTGTATTCCCTTCAATTGAATATCTAGTTCATCTCTTCAAGGTTTCTTCAAGTACTTTGTAAGTATCAAGAACCACTTCTCAAAGTAAAGGGTTCTTGAGTTGTACTGGTTTTCTGGATATTAAAAAAAGTTATTAAAAATAAAGGTATCTACGGAGGCGTATTGCATTCACTTGAAGAAAAAAAATCTACTCTGTTTTTCTGAATTAACAAGTTAATTTTTCATGAGAAAAAAATTGCTCTGTTTTTCTGAATTAATGAGTTAATTTTTCATGAGAAAAAAAGTTTTTGCTCTGTTTTTCTGAATTAACGAGTTAATTTTTCATGGAATTTTTTTTTTTTTTGCTGTGTTTTTCTGAATTAACGAGTTAATTTTTCATGGATTTTTTTTTTTTTTGCTCTGTTTTTTCTGAATTAACTCGTTAATTCAGAAAAACAGAGCAAAAACTTTTTTCTCTCTGAAAAATTAACTCATTAATTCAGAAAAACAGAGCAAAAACTTTTTTCTCATGAAAAATTAACTCATTAATTCAGAAAAACAGAGCAAAAAAAATGTTCTCATGAAAAATTAAATCATTAGTTCAGAAAAATAGAGAAAAAACTATTTTTTCTCATGAAAAATTAACTCATTAATTCAGAAAAACAGCAAAAAAAATTCTCATGAAAAATTAACTCATTAATTCAGAAAAACAGCAAATTTTTTTTCTCATGAAAAATTAACTCGTTAATTCAGAAAAACAGAGTAGATTTTTTTTTCTTCAAGTGAATGCAATACGCCTCCGTAGGTATCAAAAGGCGGTTTTCACAGCAGTCAACAGTTCTTAGAAGAACCATTTTTCTTATTGTGAAGGAAATTTTAAAAATCTAAAGAACCTTTTTCTTCTCCTTCAGAACATTGCTTAGGTTCTAGGTATCATCTGTTAAAAGCAAAAGAGGCCTTGCTCTATAGATCTAGTGCATATGATTTTGGCTTCAGGAAAGCATGATATGTGATTGGTAATGTCTAAGTGTGGAAGTCATTTGTCATTACGGTTTCAGCGTTCACTGTGTTGGTGCCTCTGCTGGCGTCTGCTGGCACACGTGACTGAAAAACTTCATGCAGGTTGTGGAAACTGGGTCCATGCAGTTCACTCTCATATTTGTGAAGCAAAGTCCAAAGAGCCTCATGGTCCTAGAAAGGAAAGAGACTGGATCAAACAAGCTATTAAAAAGTTAGAGACGTTAAAAATTGTGGTTTAAATCTCATTTATCACACTGCAAATTGTCCATTTGAGTGAACTGGATGCATAGGATTTGCACATTTTAGCAAACATGTATTCCATGCATACTGAAATTTCACAGACTGTGCTAAGTAATACTGCAGAAATAATGATAGTATGCAATTGAGAACATAGCATGAGAGTGAGTGCATGTGAGATTCACCAAATCTGGCAGAGAGTATAAAACAGTCCAGGCCTCATCTTCATGCGCTTGTGTCAGCTTAGTCAGCAAATGAATGGCACATTCCACCCATGAGACATCTATCCGAGAACACCCTGGGGCGAAGGGTCCAGTGCTTCCTGAACCATGTGCTTCCTGTAGAGAAGCTTTAATCTGCTGCAGGCTCAACACACAACTCAGATCCACTGCGTTTCCATCTTAAAGACACAAAAATACACACTTTTAATGAAAACCAGAGAAGGGATATTTTACTGCTGATGTTCTTCTAAAGTCATTTTGGCTAGTTCACCCCAAAATTAAATGCAAAACGATTTGGAACAAAACGAGAGTGAGTAAATAAAGACAAAATAATAATTTTGGGGGGAACTGTCCCTTTAATAGTGATATTTGTGTTTTTATATGTAGGTGATTAACTGTTGTTTTCCTGAATGTTTCGGAGCCCCAGGAGGTCGCTCAGGGAAACCCTGTGCAAGATCTCCAACAATTGTTTTCTTTCCTGCTCCTGACACAAAACCAAAAACTGCAGCACATCCTGATGGGTAAGAAAATAAACAACTTACAATAAAACTGCACATAACACGAGCATATAAGAGAAATACTGCTGTCTTCAAGTCATGTTGGAATGAATATATTTTTGAGATAATCATACATGAATGTATGTATTTAGCAATAATACTGGTGATAAAGCTGATACCAAATGAGGAGACCAAATTATTTTCCCATGTTTTTCCTAAAATTTCCATCATTTTCTGTGGGAGCACAATACTGACAAAATGTCGGTCAAAAGTTTGGGGTCAGTGTTTTTTTTTTTTTTTTTTTTTTTTTGGGAAAGAGCAGTAAAGCCATTTATAATGTTACAAAAGATTTCAATTAAAAAAATGCTGTTCTTTTGAAAGAATCCTGAAGGAAAAATATATGATGGTTTCTACAAATAAATATTCACAATAGTAAGAAATGTTTCTTGAGCAGCAAATCAGCATATTAGAATAATTTATGAAAGATCATGTGACGCTGAAGACTGAAAATTCATCTTTATTTGTATATATCATTTTAAATTGTATTAATGATATTCACAATAGTACTGTTTTACTGTATTTTTGACCAAATAAATGCAGCCTTGCATACAAGACTTTTTAAAACATTGTACTTATTAAAAATTGTACTCCAAAAATTGACAGTGATTAAATAACAACTGCACATTTAATGCAAATGAAGATAACACATTTTATTTATATTTTTAAAAAGCCTGGCTTTGTCAGTAAGTGAACAAGTAAAATTGCCCAACAAGTTAATTTTATTCCAACTTAAACATTTAACACCACGTAACTTCCAAATTCCTAAACAGGAATTTGTATTTGAAGGCAGCAAATAACACAGCACACAGTACCTGCTCTGCGCAATTTACATTTGTCCAGCCCAGCTGTTTTTTAACGGTGGGATCCACATTTTCCTGAATCCAGATTCTAGACAGTTCCTGACTGACTGAGCCTCTCATATAAGGCCTAGAACACAGAGGTGGTTTTTATTCAAGCTTGCACACTTTGGAGTGAAAATTGGTGTATGAGTCGACATACAGTCAGTGTTTAAACCCCATATTTAACACGCTCACCATCTGTCCCAGTGTTGTCTGGCGACCAGCAGTGCTGTGTAGGACTGTTCTTCTCTCTCAGCTCTCCGCACAGCGACACACATACTGAGATACATTACACGCAGAGCTTCCTGTCCCACTCTGCAGGACCAATAAATCACATCACAATATTGTGCAACCATTAGCATAGATATTACCATTAGATTGATATTGACATTAAAAAGTCATGCTTAACTATGGCAGTATGTGAATGTCAACATTTCTAGTTGTGCATGTTCAAATTTCTTATGTCATCGTGTTTGTGTTGTATTCTCAGGGTAGCCAGTAGAGGCACTATAGTGGGCAAAAACATTAAACCTTCTTCTATGGTGTATTAGATTCAACAACTTCAACGGAGAAAAATGAAGTCAATTAGAAGCACTCACTTCCTGATGGCTGAGCGCATTGTGCAGGCTCAAACTGAGCTTGACGACGTAGATGTGACGTGAGCAACCTGTCTGACAGTTGTAAGTCTTCTAGTAGCTGCCAAGAGGAATCTGAATCATTCCCTTCTGAATCTTGACGGAGAGCGTGAGTAAGAGCTGTCCATGAGCTAGCAGCAGGAGCAACTTTATGACTCTCTATGGGCTTCTCATTTGACTTTATGCCTCCACATCCCCCCGATTGCCTGTGAGCTTCACCTCCTGTCTATACGGTCATTTCTCCACTGTGCAACAGAGAGTCGCATAGTTATGACACAATCGTTAGCCTATTTTTACAAAAACTGCTTCTACGAGGCCATAACGTAAGATACAAAATAATGGAGCCTTTTATACATTGTCGTGTTTCTTTAGAAATAAATGATGGGCAAATGGAGTCTTTGGACGCCTCAGATGTAAAGTTATTCGCTGTCAAAGTGACGCCAAAATGAATGGGAGTCAATGGAATGCTAACAGCAGGTGAAGTTCTGCTACAATGGCGGCCCCCAGGGAAGCTTCCGTTTCCGGCTGGTGGATTAGACCAATTAACCAATCACATACATCTATTAGATTTCATCAACCAATGAACACAATTGAATGACCTGTTCATGAGAGCGCTGATTGCTTCCTTCTCATCTTGATAATGTGACTCCAGCTCCAACAGGAAGTTGACAGCCGACCAAGCCTGTTCCCTCGGTTTGGATGACCAAGCCTCATCTCTAGGTTTACCGCTCTCAGGACAGCCTCGCAACACCACAGAATCACAGCTTCTACCATATTCATTGAATAGAATTATTTTGTGACACTTCAATTAAAGCCTTTAATGCATTATAAAAGTATTGTAATGCATTAATTATGCCTTATGCACCTTATGATGCACTGCATCATATCATGATTAATTGTAACCACACTTAGAATTCATTATAATTCTTATCTATTAAAGGAGTAGTTGACTTTTAAAAAACCTTTTGCTGATAATTTCCTCACCCCCATGTCATCCAAGATGTCCATGTCCTTCTTTCTTCAGTCGAAAAGAAATTAAGGTTTTTGATGAAAACATTCCAGGATTTTCTTCATATAATGGACTTCATTGGGAACCAAACTGTTCAAGGTCCAAATGAGAGTTTCAGTGCAGCTTCAAAGGGCTTTAAACGACACCAGACGATGAATAAGGGTCTTATCTAGGACCCTTCGAGTCATGACTCGAAAAAAGATTTGTTCGTTTTGATGAACAAGTTCGAACAGGAGAGTCACGAACGCGCATCTCAGAACAGAGCAAGGCGACCATTTGTGCTTATAAAACTTAAACTTTTGTATTTATTTTTGAAATGACCGATCGTTTCGCTAGATAATACCCTTATTCATCGTCTGGTGTCGTTTAAAGCCCTTTGAAGCTGCACTGAAACTCTCAATTGGACCTTGAACCGTTTGGTTCCCATTGAAGTCCATTATATGGAGAAAATTACAGTAATGTTTTCATCAAAAACCTTAATTTCTTTTCAACTGAAGAATGAAAGACATGGACATCTTGGATGACATGGGGGTGAGGAAATTATCAGCAAAAGTTTTTTTTTAAAAGTGAACTACTCCTTTAATTGCTAATGTAATAAAGAATAGGTGCACTGGAACAATCCTTCCTAAAACGCATTAAACTTTAGTTTACAAAGACATGACATTCACAGAGTGGTCTGGGGTGTTCACTGATATGCTCACACACAAATCGCTGCAAAAGATGCTTTCCAGCAGGTTTTATCGTAGTTTTTATCCCAAGTCAAGTCAATGGAGTTGTACAAAACTACGATAAAACCTGTTGGAAAGCATCTTTTGCAGCGATGTTTGTGTGAGCATATCAGTGCTATTTTATCAGAAACAATCTTAAAACAGGGCTTTAGTTGTAAAATACCGAACTTGTCCTTTAAATGGCAAATATATAATGGAAGAAATTAACTTACAAACTCACAAATAGCTAGCATTACCTGTAGCACCGGAGGGCCCCGGGCAGCCCACACATTTGGAGAAGGTCTCTGCGTCTGAAAGTTTGCTCTACAAACGCTCTCAGTTCACACACGCAATCTGTCTGATCTGATGCTGACATCGAGTCCCACCAAACAACACCTTTAATTATGTGCAAAAAAACAAATACTCTTTAACTATTCTTTGAAAGGGAGAGTTTGAGTACTCTGAATTTGATCTCGTACCATACTCATCCTGTAACATCTCTCTGTACAGGTGCTCTTTGATGATGTCATATTTGTAGGACAGGAGTTGGAGGATGTCGGTACTACTGGGAGAGGTCCTGCCCAGTCGCATGCTCCCAGCGTTCCTTTGAGAAAGAGATGGTAGGACACTCCAAACACCATCAAGAACAAGTCTGGATCAGAAAGCAGGAGGAAATTGTGGTAAATTTGTGAGAGTATAAGCAAATTAATTAAAGAGTGTGTGTTTAAAGTGACCTGGTGTAAAGTCTCTTGGCCCTATTCTGAAGACACAATATACTAAACTGCTCTGGATCTTGCTCCTAGAAGAAAACAATACAAAATATTACAAACAAAGTATAATGTACACATATGTATCAGACACGATTTTCAAATTAGTCAATGATCATGATTCTAGCTAAAATAGTGCACACTAAAATAGTCACATTCATTTTTAATGTGAATTTGTATGAACTAGTTTTTTACCAGTTGTTTAGAGATGCGGTTGATTGTTGAGGACTGTGTGTTTTGTTCGAGAGTACGACCGATTCTACCAGCCTTCAACATCTGGAGCTCCCAGTACAGCTACAGAAATCATAAGTAGAATATGTCTTTTATTTCACAAAAATTTATTCACATATATGACGCTTCAATTTAATAACTTCACAATTGAATACATGATTTTCAAATTCAGGAACCCAAAAGTCCCCAAAACAAAGCCAAATATCCAAGATAAGGATTCACTCTAAGAAAAAAAAAAATCTATAGAAAATGAATAATGTCCTGGCAGAATTTTTTATGGACATTTCCTACAACCCTAAAACACAATACGTAAAAATACCTGAGAAGAATCAATACAGAAAATGTCTTAAAGTTAACATGGTACATTCCGCTGTATTTTTGCTGGCTTTTCTTAGAGCATTAAAGGGATAGTTCACCCAAAAATGAAAATTCTGCCATTAATTACATATGGGAATAAAAGCCTAAATTAAATCCATAAGGTAAATGAGTCTCTTCAGAAAATTTGGACTAAACTGGTCAACTAACATGGATTAGTTTTACGATCTCTTTACTGTACGAACTTTCTGAAGCGTCAAAGTGGTAGCTGCACAGACTGTCAACGGAGGGACAGAAAGTTCTCAGATTTCATCAAAAGATCTTCGTTTGTGTTCCAAAGGTGAATGAAAGCCTTGGGGGTTTGGAATGACATCAGCATGAATTACACATCAGGAGTTAATGACAAAATTTTCATTTTTGGCTGAAATTTAACCTCTAATATTGAGTATATATACTGTATATATACATATATATAGGAAAATAAGTATTTGAACACCGTTCTATTTTGCAAGTTCTCCCATTTAGAAATCTTGGAGGGGTCTGAAATTGTTATCGTAGGTGCATGCCTGAGACATAATCTAAAAAAAAAAAAATAATAATAAAAAAATCCAGAAATCACAATATATGATTTTTTTTTTAAACTATTTATTTGTATGATACAGCTTCAAATAAGTATTTGAACACCTGTCTATCAGCTAGAATTCTGACCCTCATGGTTATATGGTGCGTTCTATTATACCCAACGAACCGACTCGGACCTCGGATTTGACGTCACGTCCACACTTCAAGCGTTCTATTATGTTTTGCGTGTCGGAGAAAAAAATGGACGCCACCCGGAAAGCTGTTATAATGGTAGCACTGGCCGAGTAACAGGCATTAACATTAAAAAAATATATTATGACTACACCTTATCAAAACGCAGCCATTTGAACTTGAAAATGTTCACTTTATTTAATGTTTTTCATGTTAATTTTCTGTTAGCAACGCTAGCCTAGCAATGTAAGTAATTGGACTCACAACAACCGATTCCCATACCTACAGAGGACGCAGTAATACGAGTGATTATAACACCAAAGCGGTTCAAAAACAATGAAAACAATTCATTCTTACAAGTCACAGGGCGCAGCCATCTTGAATTCCAAAACGGAATTCTTGCTCGTTGTCCTCACGGTTGTCCGACGTCTGAGAGGAGAAATCCGAAGAAAGGGGGCGTGTTGCTAGGCAATGTCTGTCGTCCGATTCGGATCTCCGAGACGGATGAATAATAGAACGCACCATAAGTCTGCCTTTAAAATGTCCACCTCCACTCCATTTATTATCCTAAAACCACCTGCTTGAGGTTGTTAGCTGCATAAAAACACATGTCCATCCCATACAATCAGTAAGAATCCAACTACTTACATGGCCAAGACCAAAGAGCTGTCCAAAGACACTAGAGACAAAATTGTACACCTCCACAAGGCTGGAAAGGGCTACGGGAAATTGGTGAAAAAAGGTCCACTATTGGAGGAATCATTAGAAAATGGAAGAAGCTAAACATGACTGTCAATCTCCCTCGGACTGGGGCTCCATGCAAGATCTTACCTCGTGGGGTTTCAATGATTCTAAACCCCCGTCCACACTACTGCGTTTTCGTTTAAAAACGGAGAATTAAAACGAATACTATCTCCATCCAGACCAGAGTTTATCTGCTTATCAGAATTGATCTACGTCCACATTAAAACGACTGAATGTCATGTCATGGACCATGACCGACTGATGACACCCAATCATATAGCCGAGCGTGAGCCTCTGCGTCAGCGTTTCTAAACTCCTCCGTTTTGTCCCGTCTTCACTAAAACGCCCTCTGGAGATTCAAAACGCAAAACGGAGCTGCAGCGTTTCTAAACTTCTCCGTTTTAGGTCTTCGATTTTTCCGTTAGTCTGGACGGGAGGTGCAAACATAGCAAAAGGTCTCTGTTTTAAAACGAAAACGCAGTAGTGTGGACGGGGCCTAAGAAAGGTGAGAAATCAGCCCAGAACTACACGGGAGGAGCTGGTCAATGACCTGAAAAGAGCTGGGACCACCGTTTCCAAGGTTACTGTTGGTAAAACACTAAGACGTCGTGATTTGAAATCATTCATGGCACGGAAGGTTCCCCTGCTTAAACCAGCACATCAAGGCCCGTCTTAAGTTTGCCAATAACCATTTGGATGATCCAGAGGAGTCATGGTAGAAAGTCATGTGGTCAGATGAGACCAAAATAGAAGTTTTTGGTCATAATTCCACTAAGCATGTTTGGAGCAAGAAGAGTACCATGAGTACCATCCCATGAACACTATCCGTACTGTTAAGCATGGGGGTGGTAGCATCATGCTTTGGGGGTGTTTTTCTGCACCAGACTGATCTAGAGAAGTTCTGTGAGGAGGAGTGGGCCAAAATCCCTCCTGCAGTGTGTGCAAACCTGGTGAAAAACTATAGGAAACGTTTGACCTCTGTAATTGCAAACAAAGGCTACTGTACCAAATATTAACATTGATTTTCTCAGGTGTTCAAATACTTATTTACCGCTGTATCATACAAATAGTTAAAAAATCATACATTGTGATTTCTGGATTTTTCCACTGTCTCTCACAGTGGACATACACCGTCCTACTATGACAATTTCAGACCCCTCCATGATTTCTAAGTGGGAGAACTTGCAAAATAGGGTGTTCAAATTCTTATTTTCCTCACTGTGTATATATATATATATATATATATATATATATATATATACAGTATATATATATTAGAGGTGCATTATTCTGGATAAATTGAGAATCACAATGGTTTTGTGAAAGGTTTAATAGACAAAGGCAAATCATTATCATTTAAGAATAAGATTTCTGAATACTAATTAATCGTGCAGCTCTAATATATATATATATATATACACAAGTATATATATATATAATTATATATATAGATTATATATATATAATCTTGCTTATAATGTATGTAATATGTATAATATTACTTTAGAAATAAGAAAATAAAGTAAAGCTGAGTATTTTAGAGAAATATAGAATTAATTAAATTTATAAAATACCTTATCTCTGTTCTCCCGCTGTTTCTCCATCACAAGGAGAACGTGCAGAACTCTTCTGGCTGAACATGACAACCCTCCACTCTGACCTCTGACCTGAACACATCAAACTCTGATATCACATGAAACATTTCTTATTTCTTCCTCTTTCTACTTCTCTTTTCTGTCTCTTCTCATTCATGTGACTCTGAGCCGAATGACTGTGTTCCGAATGTTCACCTGTGAAATGGCTGTCTTTGTCTCCTCCAGGCTGGCGGTAATGAGAAAGACGCTCTTATAGAGAGAACAGATGACGTCCATGCCGACCTCATCCTCTGCATCTACACCAATGGTCTCACAAACCAAATGCAAGCACTCTTCCATCCTAAAAAAGACAACGCATTTTATAAGCTTAATTTCATCACCACAAATGTCTTTGAACTAAATAAATATACACAATTGAAGCATAATCAACATAATGAAATGTGTTCTTGCTGTACATCTTAATGCAAATATAAAATACAAACATAACAGGTACCTTATATAATTCCAACTTGAAAAGAGAAAGTGTCGCACTTGTTCGATGAGTGAGTTTATCCTCATGAATGATGCATGATTACAACAAAGCCACGTCTGTTGCTGAGGAAACCTTTAAGATCAGATTACAGAGGCTGTAGATTACAGTAGCGCTGACCGCACTCTTCCTCAGACAAATCATGACACCCAATCAGCTACAATACATAAAAACCTGGCCAAATCAAATCCTACTGTAAATCTCATATTAGATAGCTCTTATTTTATTTTTGGTTACATTGAAACATTTAGGATTTACTTTAAGTTAAAATAACATTTATGTTTTATATCAAAGTTGAAGAAATTTTGTTTTGATGAAAATTATTAAGACAACCAACCGAAAATAGTAAGACCACAATATACATTGGTTGAGAAAATATCCCATTTGTTAATTTTTATTAAAACGATCTAATCTTTTGTATTCTAGAGTAAATCTAAATTAAATAGTATTAATCAAAATTGGCAAGCTATTTATCTATAAATATAAAGAAAAAAAATGTTTTTCACTTCAATGTAATTTTTAAATGAGCAATTAAAGCGAGCACAGGCTGGATAAAGGTGATATTTGGTGTAATAAAGCAACACAGTAAATATGAGAATACATTAAATATGACGTCATCTACAAATACTGATGAATGTCAATGCACCTGATAACATACATACAGAACTCAAAATAACTCTGTGAAGCCACTATATCAGATTAGCTCTTTTTGTGTTTCTATTTTTCCCCATATCTGTGACGGTCAGTGTTGTAAATAAAATGATCAAGTGTAATAACATATTGCTTATGAAGCTCTGTATTTAAAGAGAGTTATAAAATATAGTCACAACACCAGTGCAACAGCAGAAATGTCCCATCAAAAACAGTGCAACAAATCAAAACAAAATCTATGCAGATGCATCTTTCCATATTGTTCAAATCATTTCAAGAAAAAATTCCATAATATTTTATCTTGATGTTATGGCAAGCAACCATGGTAAAAAAGAAAAAGAAAAAGAAACCTTAGGATGATTCAAAAAAGCTTTTACCTCTTTGCATCTGAGGTGAAAGAAAGAGGAAAACTTTGTCCATGTTTGCTCAAAATGTTATCCCATCACTGGATGTGTAACTGATAATGTGTAATTTAGCTACATTAAACACAGGTCAACACTGTTAGAAACACTTACAGACAGTAGCACCAATCAAAAACCAACCAACAAACAAACAAACAAGCCAAATACAGTATACAGTAGAGGACTGTTAATGTGGATTGAACTATAAAGTAAAAAATGTAAATCTGCTTAAAGCTCAAGCATTTTAAAGTCAATACAAAACTCCATTCGCAACTCATTATACCTGTAATCTGATGAATATCTGAATGAAACATGTAGGGTGGTACTTTTTAGTCATCAGGAAATAACAGAATTGCGAAAAGTGAAGGACAAGGGTTGATAAGTAAGAGGGATTTGTGTTGTCAGCTGAAAACTAGTAAGTTTTTTTACATTTGTATAATGATTATAAACATTTTTATATGGAATAATGTGAACCAATTTTAAGGCCAATTCACACTCATACGTCAATTTCTTAGATATTCCCATTTGACATCGCGACAAACCACAAATGAACAAGTTCATTCGTCAAAAACAAGCGTTTGGTGTTGGTGGGTGTCTTTCGGTGCAGTGTGAATAGGCCTTTACAGAATAAGACCAGGAATGTGCATTATAAAGAAATAAAGCAAATTTTGATTTCATGTTGACTTCAAGAGCTTTCTTTTGTTCATTAGATCACATGGATGATTAGAACAAGATTCAGTGATATTTAGACCTTGTAGACAAACCGATTTGACTCCACAGTTTAAGGGTCTCAAAGTTTGCCATGGATGATTTTAGGGCATTTCTCAGGGGTTATGCAGTGGGCGTTGTGTTCAACCAGTCCAGCGGGACACTGGCATCCTGGCACACAGGGTTTAAAGCAGTGAGCCTCGATCACACCGAGTGGCACGTCTTTATTAAAACATGTCTTAGGACACGGTGGCCCACACTCATCAAACACATAACCACGGTCCAACGGGCAACCCACAGCTGTAGGGATGGAAAAGAAAAAGCATGGCATTATACTAAAACACAACAAATCAAGTCAAATGAATTTATATATCACTTTATACAACATAGATTGTTTACATGACGCAAGCAAATCTTTTTAATCCTGTTAACATGCAATTTTCTTTATTCGGATTATTCTCTGAGAATTGCAGTTCCGTCACTCAGTCACTACAAATGGGGTCTCACTTGGGAGCCCCAATCACCTCTGGCTTTTAGAAAAACAACCAATGGAATTGACAAGTGGAATTTGCATCCCAAACCACTCTCTCATACCCACAGATATATAACATGGTGGCACGCATCCATGCAAGAGGGCGCATTCAGTGGATTTGGCCATTCTAAAAGAGCAGTGTAAAGTTAAAGATGCTAATTTTTTTATTCTACTAAAGCATGAAAATACCATAATATGTTTGCAGATATTTAGGAAATATGCTAAGTTCACATACTCATTTATCTGAAAAAAAAAAAAAGGTTACTATCGTAGCCCCGATTCTCTGAAACATCGAGTGTAAAGATCCACCTATGGGAAGGGCATCCGTACCTGACCTCTACAGAAGCATTCAATTGCACCAAGTCTGGCTAGACAGACAAAAGTGGGCAGCCAATGCCAGCTAAGGCCCCGCCCCCTACCTGAGGGCATATAGTAACACCCGCAAGTGCTGCTATTCTCCAGTAAGTATATTCGGTTCTCGTGCGTCAAGCAGGACAAAGCTGGTGGATTTCTCCACTCGATATTTCAGAGAACCAGAGTTACGATAGTAACCTATTGTTCTCTTTCATCATCTCGTGTTCGAGATTCACCAATGGGAGAGACATGGACAGCTCCCCGATTGCCCAATACACTCACAGTGAGGTTCTGAAAGGCAGTTCCTGACACATCCCATAATCATGAACCTGGAATCCGGACGCACACTCATAACTGCACTGCTGTGCACATGCAGGACATGAAACATATGAGTGAAACAGACACATGATAATAACCCCAGCAACACAAATGTGCATATATACACCCAGAGGAGCTTGGTGACAGGAATGTGCATGGCCAGCCGGCCCATTCACTCCTTATGTGTTGCTTCCAACGGGGTTGCAGGGAAGGGCTAAGAAGATCCCACCCCTAAAACCGAATGTGCTACCTGAGATACTGGTGACATCCAGCCGGTAGTAACGAGGAGAAGCCCAACTGGCAGCAGAGCAGATGTCCTGCATTGACACTCCCCTAAACAAAGCCCAAGAGGCGGCTAAGCCCCTCGTGGAATGAGCTCTGATGTCCCATGGGGGCTGCACTCCCTTTGATTCATATGTCAAAGCTATCCACAAGTTTCCTACGCCCCATGAGGCCTTGCGTCAAAAGTGGGCGCGACTTCCGGTTGGAAGTAAACAAAGCGCGATTTGACATGCTTGACACTCGTTCATTCAACAGTTGACAGTCATTCAAGTTATAGCGATCCAAACTAGCTAACAATGTGGGAACATAACCTCAACGAAATTCAAAAGGGTGAAATAACAGTACCTTTACCCTCCACAGTAGTTGATTGGGAGTATTATAATAACATTATTAATAATCAATACTCATCAAGTCATGGTGACAGACAGTTGTGCGAGCTGACAAACAATTAAAATAAAAAATACACACTTAGTCATTGTGCTTTGGAGTTTATTCAAAATTATAAATGAATGTGCTGCTTGAATACATTAACTGGCACATTTGATATTCTGTCAACACAGGCTTTGATCCTGAGTTTAGGTGCAACATCAGTAGAGAACAGCCAAACACATGCTGATAGAGTTTATAGAACATTAAGAATTTAAACAAATGTACACAGGAAGATTCGTCGTCTTTTGGGAGGTGATGGAAACTACGGTCGTTGGCAGGATCACTCTGATTTCGTTTTCAGCTTATGTTCAAAACAATCCCGTTTAAGCCACTAAATTAGTTTAGTCCGGCTATACATACAACCGCGAACAGCACATGTTGTCCCTGAGCTCCGTAACGACATCTCTCATAAAGATTTGCGTCTTTAAATAGTAAAATAATTATCCGAAAAACAGCTAGCCTCTTCGCTAACTAACACACAAAATACCATTAGAATGCTACTTCCGCCGCGTCACCGGAAGTTTCACCCACTTTATTTTTTACAGGAGCGCCCCTCGGAAACTTGTGGATAGAATTCACAAGACAATTTGAGAGATGTTGCTTAGATATGGGATTCCCTCTATGAGGGGGCACCCATGAAATAAAGCTGGTCGATCCTACTGAAAGCACTGGTCCTGGTCATATATGTCTGTAAAGCACGAACGGGACAAAGATCATTTAGCCTCTGATCCTCCAGGAAGGAAAAAGGAGGAGGGTGAAAAGCGAACAGCTCCAACACCTTCGAAGTGAACGCAGGGAAGCATTTAGGCATGAAGGCCAGATTACCTTATCTCCACTAAGAGAAAATTTAGTGCACTAGAAATGAACCGAGAGTGCATGTAGCTCACTGAAACGCTTGGCTGATGCCAAAGCCAAGAGCAAAGCTGTCTTAAAGGACAACAGCTTTAGGGAAATACTTCCCAGAGGCTCAAAAAGGATATTGAGACAAAGCCTGCAGCACCAGGAACAGTTCTCCTGATGACTGGCAAAGAGCGAGGGACACCCTTCATAAATCTGCAGATTAGAGGATGCTTCCTGCTGTTGAGACCTCAAAACCCACATGACAGACCAAAATCGCAGCCAGGTAGACCTTCATTGTGGAAAAAGACCTCACTTTTTCCATGAGGTCTTGAAGGAAACACAAAATATCAGGAACTGAACACTGATAAGATGTGAGACCATGCCCATAGCACCACCCTTTGAACACTTGCCACTTACAGCCATTTAAGGGCCGTGTAGAAACGGCCCTGGCATTCTGTATAGTAGCAATCACACGTGCAAAAGCCCCAGTGCGCTTAGGTCCTTCCTCTCACGGGCCAGGCTCAGAGAGCCACCCTGTCTGGGTGTGGGTGATAAATTTCCTGTCATGGCTCGGCATATAACAGAGGGATTATCTCCGCCAGCCACGGTGCTTTGGGCCATCTGGGTGCTATCAGAATGAGAGACTGGCCCTGCTCTCTCACCCTGGTCAGTGTGGGAAATATCAAGCACAGAGGTGGAAAAGCATACAGCAGCACTCTGGGCCATGGGTGGGCCAGTGCATCCACCCTGAGGGGTGCGTCCACGTCCTTTAGCAAGAAGAACATAGACTATGGTAGTTTGTCTATGTGCGGGTGCAGACGCCAATCCCCATAGATTGGGTTTCCCATCGATAAAAGATGCCCGGAACATGAGTTGTGCGTAACAACAGGAACACCTGTCTGCTCCACACCAAAAGCTTGTAAGCTAGAGCGTGAAGTTTAGACGAGCGCACGCCGCCTGATGGTTGATATAAGCCACTGCTGTGGTATTGTTGCAGTGTATGAGAACATGATGTCCCTGCAGGTGAGGCAGAAAATGATTCAGAGCTTTCCATATGAAAGCTCTTCATATGGAAAGCTCTGAATGTTATGTCTCCCCTGCCACAACCCTGAACGGCCTGGGCCCTCATCTCGGCTGCTCAGCATAAACATGTATGAGTGGATGCATACCTTCATCTTATATACCCGTATGTACGGGGGAGTGGTTCCGCATGCAAATTCCACATGACAATTCCACTAGCTGTTTTTTCTAAATTGGGCGATCCCAAGAGAGACCCCATTTGTCAGTTGACATATCATCTCCATTCAGGGAATGAGGGTTACATCAGTAACTAGGACACCATTTTACTGCCACTATGAACGTATTATTTTCATATTAAGATACGATTGTAGTTTTTAATCATTCTTTCAGAATCAGTTTACATTTTTAATGGAAATAAAATAAGTTTAAGGTTTTTTATATTTTATTAATTTTATATACCTAACTCACATACAGGAGGTGTTACTGGCCAAGTTCTTCCAACTTACTTGGATTTGTTTACTTGTTCGTCGTATTCAGACTCAATCTCAAACTTAATCTCAGACTTAATCTCAAAATTGCCTAAATCTCACTAGGAGGTTGCTTGTAAACATAGTAATTGTTTCAATGTTCATCAAATAAGAAAAAAATTATATTTAGCTATAAAGCAGCTATACAGAAGGCAATATCATTATTTAGCTCAGCGAACAGTTCGGTGTTGATTTAATTAGATTCAATTCAACGACAGTGTCAAAGTTACAAAGTTCATCAATTATGAAGCGGGATGATTGGCGCTCCCATTACATTTTAGTAATCAACATAAATTAGGTATCATTCGAAAGCTTAAAAACTCAAAATTCATCCTGTGAAAAACGTTTTGAAATCGGACATTGCATTACCAAATTGCAAATTGCATTGCAAACAGTACATTAAAACCTTTTAGTGGACTCCTTAAAAAAAGTATCAAACTTCTATAAAAGTACTCTATATGACTTTAAAGTTCTTTAACTTTTTTTGTGCTTTCACTTCAGTTATAATCTGCAGAGTGTCTTCTATAAAAAGAGACCAGCCATAACATTCCCAAGCATTAATGAATTACAACCATTTAAAGGGATACTCCACTTTTTTTCGGAAATAAGCTCGTTTTATAAATACCGTTTTCGAAAGTATTCAGCCGATTTTCTGATATTTAGAAGAATATCAGTAACCAGACAGTTTCTGGTCTCATTGACTTCCATAGTAGGACAAAGAAATATACTATGGAAGTCAATGAGACCAGAAACTGTCTGGTTACTGATATTCCTCTAAATATCAGAAAATCGGCTGAATGGATTCAAAAATGGTAAAACTCAACTGTTTAACTCTAGGGGAGTTGTAAAATGAGCCAATATCCAAAAAAAGTGGAGTATCCCTTTAAGTTTGTATAGTGCAATTTCACGTCTTTGCTAAAAAAGGGGGTGACATTTAACTGCATTAGTATATCTCACTCACCACAGAGTGTCGGCGACCTCCACTGCAGGATAACACCGGCTTCACGGCACTCGGACGCGTAAGCCTCCAACACGTCACACAAACACTCATCCATATTGGACCCGCAGGCGCACAGATCATACACACATGATGCAAAGAACATCTCGGGTGGCACCACTTTATGACAACGTTCAAACACGGGCAACTTCAGCACTGTGCACCGAGTATTTGCTGTCTTATGGGCAGAGTATCCAGCCTCCTTACACGGATTAATGTTTTTCACATCAGAACACTGAACATTTGAATTTACACTGCCCACCTGCAAGGAAAATAACATTTCACATTCATATTTTATATTTGAAATATATTAAATAATTACAATACAAGATTGTGTGACTTGAATGCGTTCTTCAGACATGTTGAGCCTTGGTGTTAAAAAGGAAAAACTAGGTTTGAAAATGACCATATCCCAATCCCCTTCCCGCATTCTCTACTGTCACATTTCTAGTTTTGCCGGTCAACTACAAACCCACATATCATTCAATACATACAGCATGAAGAAGATGTTTTAGTGTTTTAACCTTCCAGTTGTTTCCGAAAGCTGCTTCAGAATTGGCGATTTGTCCATTGCGAAGTTTCATGTCATCGTGAGGGTAGTTATTGAAGTTTCCACATAAACCGCACATGTGCTTCTTGTAGGTACCAGGAACGCTAACTTCCACATGAGACCGGCCATTCCATAACACCTTAAATCACAATCATCAAATAAACAAATAAAAAGTGCTATCAAATTATTTAAATTATTTCAAAATAATAAAAAAAAACGTGGGCAATGCATAGGGATAATGCTGCCTGGAAAGAAAAATAGGGATTTTACTGTACCTTCAGCCCAACATTGGTGTTTAGGAGGATGGTGTTGGTCTTGCGCTCCAGGTAAACATACGGCTCTTTAAGAAACGGCAGGGAGACGGGTTGATAATCAACCTGACGTATCAAAGAAAAGGAAAACAAGCAACAAGCGGATCTGTTAATATTATACACTGATAAAAGTGTGTAAAGAAAAGCTGAAGGTAAATTGATAATTTAGCTCATGGTTTTCTTAAATTTGGGTTTTACAAAGAATGAAAACATGATAATTAACGAAATAATTAAAAAATAAAAAACAATCAAAATAAAACACTTACTAAAAACATTTACCTGCATGTCATGTGACCATTAAACACAATCAGAGAACTGTAAACAATGCAAATGTTTTTAAATTATTGAAATATTAAATTAAAATCTCTTGGGGTACTTCAAGTAAATATTTTAGTTCAAAGCGAGTTTGGTTGACATAAAAGTTTGAGAATCCCTGAGTTAGCTAATTATATCAGCTAAAATCATGTCTGTATGTGTAAGAAAGAAGATGGAACTGCGACAATGGCATCGACTATTGAATATTCCATCATAAGTAAAAATATAAATATTTAAAAAACTATAAAAATACTATACAAAAACAAAAATAGTTTTACACTATAAAGAGAACATATAGGAAAAATAACATTTGTATGGTGTGTGGTGAAAAGCGCACCATAAAGGCCCGTTAGTGGATGCTAATATATTTATCGCTATAGTTATCATTCTTAGTGTGAACAGGCCTAAACGCATATTACCTTGACAATCCAGTCCTGAAACAGCTGCACCACAACATCTCCAATAAACACGGTCACTTCTTTAGTCCAAGACACTCCCCTACGTCCCCGGTCCTCATTAGACACATGAACACTGACACACACACATATAGTACACACACGTCTGTTTAGATTACTATTGTGTGAACTATCCCTCTAATGCACAGTATACACTACTTTTCCAAAGTTGGGGTAGGTGTGTTTTTTTACGGTTTATATAAGGTCTCTTATGGTCACCAAGAGTGCATTTATTTGATAAAAAAATACAGTAAATTTAAACAACTGCTTTCTGTTTTGTAATATATTTTAAAATGCAACTTATTTCTGTGATGGTAAAGCTGAATTTCCAGCATTATTACAGTCTTCAGAAATCATTCTAAGATTCTGATTTGCTTTATAATTACCAATGAAAAAAAAAAAGAACAGCTGTGCTGTTTAATACTTCTGTTGACCCTGTGATACTTTTGTAATGATTCTTTGATGGACAGAAAGTCCAAAACAAAAGCATTTGATCAATTTACTACATCCTTTCTGAATACATTACATTACAAAAAGAAAATCTTACTAGCCCTGAATTTTTGAACAGTAGTGTAGATGTGAGTGAGAGAATATTCTAAGCACCTGAAGTCACCGCCCTCACAGTCCTGAGCCAGAACATATGTGCACGTCCCCTGGAAGTTCACCATCTTTCCATCAAACGTTCGATAGTGAGGGTCTCCAAACACAATGCAGGTGGCGGGGTGGGGAATGCAGTGAGGACAACACACTCCAGGAACCAGGGCCGGACTTTCATCCTACAAACACACAAATGCCACAAAAACAGATCATACCTGAGAGGGGCCCACTATGTCCTTGTCCTTAATATAGTACACTGACTTATGAGTCTGCATGATTTTTCAAATTAAATTAAAGGCTTTTTAAGACCAGCACATGTGTATGGTAAACATCCTAAAATGACTGTAAGAACCATAAAATGACTATCAAAACAACTTTGCCGTACAAATTTTGATAAAACGGGCTTAAAGGGGACCCTTTTCACAAGATGTAATTAAAGTCTCTGGTCTCCCCAGAATGTGTCTGTGAAGTTTCAGCTCAAAATACCCCACAAATAATTTATTATAGCTTGTGAAATTTGCCCCTTTTTGCCATATTTGTGGGTTCCTTTAAAAGCGAAACCTTTACAGCTCATGCTTCAGATACTCCAGCAACAACAAAACTGGAGATTGTCACGCAGCCATAATCCAGAAATTGTCACTAACAGTGTTGAGCCTTGCATGTTCGAATTTAGGAAGAAGTTACAACTTTTAGAATGCAACTGGACGTTTATGAATGCTTAGTGAATACATTTGTGTACCATAGTTGTAATGGAGTGAACTCACCGACTAGCTTGTTCTTTCATGTTAATCTAAAAATCATTCAGAAACAACTTTTGTGCAAATCCAGCATTGAACTGACCCTCATGTGAAGCAGTCCGACGTAAAATGATTTGTGCAAATATATGACACTTTAAAGACTTTCTTTGGAAGATGGAGACTCTTATGTTCATCGTTACAGAACATCGTTGGGACGGACTTCTGCGGCTCATTCTAGGGGCAGGGTCTATGCTAACAGGGAAAAACGTCACCAGTCATGGGCGGGGCTTCTGGAAATGCTTATTTGTGATTTATGGATATTATATAAAAAAGGAGTAGGTGGATTTTTACCATTATAGGCTGGTTGTTTACACACACTGTGGACACACAACTGTGTTCAAACACCTTATTAAAGTGAATTTTGCATAATAGGTCACATTTAAATGCTAAAATGTCACTTTTATAATTTTATAAATCTTGCTTTTAAGAAAAGGGATGAGTAAAATATGATTATATATAATATTCTAGAACCGTATTATTGTACATTTTGAATGCACATCTGTTTTTTCATTAGTTATCACAATAAGCCACATCGCAATTCCAGGTTTTCCAGCCCCAAATTTTAAGACCTATTGAAATGATAATTAAGTCCTTTCTTCTCCCATTTAAGATATGTAAGACTTTTCATGACCTAAAAATTGATAAAAAACGAAAAGTATGACTCACAGGGACCAATATGTAAAAGCCTGTCGACAAGTTTCAAACTATGTGAAGTCTTCACTAATATAACCTCTAAGGTGCATATCGTCATCTTACCGAGGCACACGTGAGCGTTGGGCATCTCTGGGTTTGGCAGTGCACGTCTCCGGACACACAGGTGCAGGTCGTACACTCGTCCACCTCCCAGTGGTCATTGGGGCTGTACATCTGTCCCTCGTACACACATTGTGCACCAGTGTCTATGGAGTGGACTACGGTTGTGATGCCTTTGCACTCTAGACAGCACTTCCCAGGGTTCTTCACTTTGACTGATCCATCCGGACAATCAAGAGGAGGACACTCCTGCAGATCACACTCGATGTGCCCTTGCTAACACACACACACACACACACACACACAAGTTACTTTAAAATGTGCTTACTACTGCATTAAACAATCAATAAATGTCACTCTAGAACTTTTGGTAAAGATGCGATTCTGTTGGACATCAGACTTTGGTTCGTTTGCTTGATGTGAGATTTGTTTAGCCTAGCATGTTTTAGCCAATCATTCACATATTGCTTCTAATAAACTTGTTACAATTATATCTGATGAAATAGTACAATCATCACATGATGCTAATGCTAACTATGCTAATTCCCTGTTTCTAAATTGGGATGCCCATCCTGAGGTAACAATAGATTGCGTCCGCTTTAGTTTGGAATCAGCCTTTGCAATGATTTAAGTTGGCGTAGACAATTGTGAAGCCATATGAACATTACTTAGACATGCTCATCTCTGACTGATAGCAGAATACTTTCTAAATTGTAACTTTCTAAAATCAAACATGCATGTGCTTTGAAACTATTTGTAGGCCTATTGTGAAAAGTGCTACAGAAATAAACTTGAATTGACATCATAACAACAAATGTTTTGTTTGTTTTTTTGCTTAAAATTGTGTCTGTGTTTCTCCTGCAATAGTTTTAGTTCCCTCACATTGCAGATGCAGGTGATACACTCATTCTCCTGGTCTGTCCATCTCTGTCCGCTTAGTACGTGGTTTTCGCCCTCTAATACACACTCTGAGACAAACATATATACAAGTGAGCACACATACACTGGAAGAAGCGACGTTGCATTATTTCTGATAGCGAGACTGTACCGTCACAGACGGGGCAGCAGGAATCAGGGTGTGTGCGCTGATAATCCGGAGGGCAGCTGAGAGGAGGGCAGTCTTGATGAATACACGTCCATGTCAAATCCTAAACACACACATAAACGTCGTCATTCCTTATCAATGCACATGGCTTTACAAAATAGCAGTGCGTTTAGATACCTTGCACTGACAGGTGAAACACGGATCATCAGTGGCTAAGACTTCATTACCGATCAGTGTAGCTGTGCAGTTGCTGAGGGGCTCTGAAACACAAATCACAAGAATTAAACTATCAAAGATTTGAAAAGACTTCTTCAAAGAGTCTCATATAAGTTATGTTAACCAATGTTATATCTTAGTCAGAATAAACATCATATTTTGATGTCATTAAAGTCTGTCATAAATACAGTTTGTTCAAAATGTTGCATTTTTGAAGCGGAGTCTTTATAATTTAGCTAAAAAATACTGAAAATATGACCTAAAAAATTAGAAACTGGTTTTAATTAGAAAATTTACATTACTTAAATCCCTTCAAATTAATTTTTGCTCATCTCAAATGAAATTTGGCATATAATACAAACTATTTTCAAAAGAATCTACAGCACATTATAGCAAAATAAACAGGGTTATTATCCCACAGCTTTAAGGAATACTTGATTCTTATATTGAATGTACAATATCCCACTCACAAACAAACAAATAAATGGACATATGAAGAGTTCAGATGCAAAAGCCTCTAAATGCCATTTGAAATTTTCTTCTTTAATGATGATTTTTATCAAACTTGTATATTTAAGTTCAGTAATTTCACTTAAATAACAATTAATAGGTAATCTTCATTGCCATTTAAGTGAAATCACTGAACTTAAATATACAAGCTTGATAAAAATGATCATTCTAGAAGAAAATTTCAAATAGCAATTTCAAATGGCATTTAGAGGCTTTTGCATCTGAACTCTTCATATGGACATGAAATACAAATTTGTATACTAATAATATTTATTAATATTTTTAAATAGCTTTTTTTTTCTTTAGTTCTAACTTTAAGTTACTCTAACTAAGGTTTAGTATTTTTTTAATGTGCTTTTGTCCTTTTTTAATTTAATTTTATATTTCTATTTAGCTTTTTATTTCAGTTTTAGTTTCAGGTATTTTATTACTGTAACTTACAGTTATTTATTTAAGTTAATTGGCAATTATTTCAGATTTATTTAAATTACTAAAAACTAATAGTTTTAGTTAACATGATAACAATACTGATAGAGATTTGACTTGTAATTATCTGGGCAAAACTTTACAATAAGGTTCAATTTGTTAACATTAAGTACTGTATTACTAACTAACAATAAAATAAAATAAATGTTAAAGTATAATGAACAAACAACATTTATAAATATACTTTTGCTCTTTTTTTCTTTGTTTTTGTAAAGTGTTACCGATGAATTTAATATGTGAGAAGAAAGAGACAGAGTTATACGAGAAACACGAAACTAGCACAGCAATGTAGAAAAACTGTTCACAGCAGTGTTCATACTAACGTGCACAGACAGGGCAGCAGGAGTCAGAGCCGCTGTATAGGATATTGTGTTTAGGACAGTCCACCAGACTCGGGCACTGCTTCCTATAGCAGCTCAAGTGCTGTTCCCCATCTGACATCACCTACAACACATACACACACCGTAAAGCAAACAAACCAACATACAGTATGCGCACAAAATGTTGTGATGAGTCATACCTCACAGGTGCAGATCTCACAGTGATCACCAGAAGGGTGGAAACTCTCTCCAGGGCCATACACACGGCCTTCAAACACGCAGTCTGACAGAAGAAACACATTTAAAACATTAAACTTCCAAAACAACAATATGCATGCACAAAACTGTTTGTAGGGATTGTGTCACGGAACGGATGGATTAAGGTGCGAGGACTCAAGTGCAAAACAATGGGTATATTTATTAAGTAAATAACACAAAACAAAACTACAACAAAAACTCCCTCGTGGGGGAAAACTAGACAGAATCAGGCAGGATACAGGAAACACTAGGAACATGGACAACGAACCAGCACAGGACTGCAAACACAGGGAGATTAAATAGGGGAACAAACATAAGAGGGTAACGAGGCAGGCAGGTGGGGGAAATAAAACAATAACGAGATAACAAGATGGGCGGGGTTAGACAATAGACAGGAGAGCACATGGCACAAGGAAATAACATGACAGCCATGTGCTCACAACCGACCAGACTAAACAAACACATGACAAACCAGGAGTGGCACAGCTCTGTCACTAAATCAAGAGAAACCCAGACAAGGGTGACAGAACTGTGACACTACCCCCCCCTCAAAGGGACGCCACCTGGCGTTCCCAAGGAGGGACACCAAAAACAAGACAGGAACATCCAACGTGTTAGACCAAACAGCAGACAAGACAAGCAAATCAAAACACATACACAGAGAGGGGAGGGACGGGAGGGTTGAGCCAGGGAGGGACGGGCAGGTCTGCATTCCTGGCTGAGGACCAGGGTGGTGCCGGCGGGACGGACCAGGGAGACTCAGGCGGGTCTGGATTCCTCACTGAGAACCAGGGCGGAGCAGGCAGTTCAGGCGGCCATGGCGGAGCAGGCAGTTCAGGCAGCCAGGCTGAACCAGGCAGTTCAGGTGGCCAGGACGGATCAGGCAATTCTGGTGGCCAGTACGGACAAGGCAGTTCAGGTGGCCAGGGTGAACCAGGCAGTTCAGGTGGCCAAGGCGGACAAGGCAGTTCAGGTGGCCAGGGTGGACCAGGCTGTTCAGGTGACCAGTGCTGAGCAGGCAGTTCAGGTGGCCTGGGTGGACCAGGCAGTTCAGGCGCAGACACCAGTTCAGGTACAGAACCCGGATCAGGAAAAGACACCGGCTCAGAAACAGACATGGCCATATCGTCTGGAGACGTTGGTTCGGTAGCGACCATACTGTCCAAAGACCCCGGCTTGGCAGCGGCTACCTTGTTAGGAAACACTGGCATGGCTGACCTGGTGGGAGCGGTCTCTGGCTCGGCAGAACTGACGTGAACAGTCTCTTGTATGGCAGGAACAACGTGAACAGATTCAGGCTTGAATTGTAACATGACCGGTGCCGGCAGGGCCAGGAACTTGGGCGGCGCTGGCAGGGAGAAGCGCTTGGGTGGCGCCGGCAGGGCGAGGCGCTTGGGAGGCGCCGGCAGAGCGAGGCGCTTGGGTGGCGCCGGCAGGGCGAGGCGCTTGGGCGCGGCTGCAGGCCTCCCTGGAGGCTTCAAGGGTTCAGCTGCAGGTTTCACTGGAAGCATCGGTGGTTCGACTGCAGACTTCACTGGAGGCTTCAGAGGTTCAACTGCAGGCTTTACTAGGGGCTTCGGGGAGTCGGCTGCAGGCTTCGGAAACATCTCCGGACCCTGTAGTTGGCCGGAAGCTCTCCTCCCCCGTCTACGTGAGTGTGTTGGTACTACGAGCTTCTTGGCCACCTCTGAGAGCACTGCAGGGAGAGAGGACAGCTCTGGGACCACTGCAGTTGGATCCTTCTGGACCACCAGGCTTGGGACCACTGAAGTCGGGTCCTTCTGGATCACCGGACTTGGGACCATCGAAGTCGGGTCCTCCTGGACCACCGGGCTTGGGAGCGCCAAAGTCGGGTCCTTCTGGACTACTGGCCTTGAGACCGTTGAAGTTGGGTCCTCCTGGACCACCGGCCGAAGGGAAGCATCAGGAGCCCTCCTCCTCCTGCGCTGGCGAGGCGATGAGAAAGTAACTGCATCTGGGGGTGCTGCAGCTCCTTCAGCCTCCACTGGATAGGAGGCTGATGGGTCACACCCTTTCTTCCTCCTCCCTCTCCCCAAAGGGGTCATCGGAGGACCGGGGACATGGCAGTTTGTGAGGTCAGTGGGAGGTGGCCCAAGTGGCGGAAGACCACCCTCCCAGTCTGCACTGGATCCGCGATGGTAAACGTACCCCACAAACTGCCAGAATGATAGTGTCCCCAGCATTCCCATCTCCCAGGCAGGAACAGGCTCCTTAAGGCTGGTGTTGAATCTATCCTTAAGCACTGTGTCACCAATGTTGAGCCCCTCCGCAAAATACAGGAACTTGAAGGCAAGCTCCTTCACACTGCTTTCCCCTTGCCGCAGTGAAAGGAGCTTGTCGAGTCTCTCCACCATCGGATAAGCGGAGGGGCAGGGAGATGGGAAAAGGAAAATACCCATGCTTGCTGAGTCCTCAGTTTGGCTGGTTCGTTCTGTCACGGAACGGATGGATTAAGGTGCGAGGACTCAAGTGCAAAACAATGGGTATATTTATTAAGTAAATAACACAAAACAAAACTACAACAAAAACTCCCTCGTGGGGGAAAACTAGACAGAATCAGGCAGGATACAGGAAACACTAGGAACATGGACAACGAACCAGCACAGGACTGCAAACACAGGGAGATTAAATAGGGGAACAAACATAAGAGGGTAACGAGGCAGGCAGGTGGGGGAAATAAAACAATAACGAGATAACAAGATGGGCGGGGTTAGACAATAGACAGGAGAGCACATGGCACAAGGAAATAACATGACAGCCATGTGCTCACAACCGACCAGACTAAACAAACACATGACAAACCAGGAGTGGCACAGCTCTGTCACTAAATCAAGAGAAACCCAGACAAGGGTGACAGAACTGTGACAGATTGTAGTTGTACCTGCACACACTGGGCAACATTCTCCTGGCACGCTGATCTGGTTTAGACAGGTGGAGAGACAGTGGACCATCGAGCAGGTGGTCACTCCATCCACACACATACAGGACATGCAGGGACCACTGGATGGAAACCAGGTGCTGCCTTCAATGTGCTCGACACCGTCATAAAAACAGCCTGAAAGAGAGACAGCTCGGTTTAGTAGAGCTTATTTTAGAGTGGTCTTATTTAAGGGATAGTTTATCCAAAAAAGAAAATTCTCTCCAAAGTAAATCCAAATCCATCTTCGGGAACACAAATGAAGACACTTTTAATGAAATCTGAGATATTTCTGTCCTTCCATTGAAAAGTCTATGAAATGAGGTTTGTTCTTTTCAAGCAAGTGTGGCTGAGCTTCTGTTTATCTGTTTATATTGTTTCTGTTTATCTGTTTAAAGCGATTTTGATTCTTCAGAAGACTCGGATTAAACCCCTCGATTCATATGGATTTATTTTACCATCTATTTATGAATGTTTTGAGTTTTGGGTGAATAGACTTTCCATGGAGGGACAGAAATCTCTCAGATTTAATTAAAACTATTTTCATTTGAATTACACAGAGTAAATGATGACATAATTTTCATTTTTGTGTGAACCAATGCTTTAAGTCTTATTTAATATCATATTCGATTTGGGGTTGGTGTTTAATAGTGTGTGTTTTTTAATATGTATAAATAACAAAACTAAATTTAATAAATAAATTGTATGAATAAAATAGTATAATAATATTTTTATGAATACATTTTATTTAATTAAATTGTAATTTTAAAACAAAATAAATAATAATAATAATTTATAAAGTACTCATTCAAAACATAAAAGGGTAATTCATTAAATCAAAGGTATTGTATTCACAACCATAAGCACATTACATATGACCACCATGAGTTTAGCATATCTTAACAGAGGTCATTTGTATACAGAAGTTTTTAAAGGTACAGCAGCAAAGGCAAATTGTTTTTGTTTAAGTCTAAGGGCCACAGAAAGGCTGGTAAAATATCATGAAAAACTAAACTGATCCAAAGAAATTTGACTAACACTATAAGTACATGTCAGGGAAAAAATTATATGTCCTATGTCCTAATTTATTTGTCAGTACCTCTGCAGCGGGGACAGCAGGAGCTGGGATCCGTGACCTGATGCATGCAGGTCAATTTAGCACAAGGAGGACCTACACACCTCATCTCACCATCCTGAAACACACATTTGTAAAGAATGAACCTTTCTGTCAGTCAAATCTCATGCTTGAGTCAGCAGGATGCTGAGGATGAGATGCTAACGGCTGAATTTGTGTGTTGTGTGTCTTACCACACAGGTGCAGTTCAAGCAGGGATCAGCGGGGAGGGTCAAGCTCTGTCCTTCTTCATACTCCTGACCTTGTTGAACACATACTGTGAGGCCAAAAGAGATCACAGGTCAAACTCAGACACAACCATAACAAAAACAGACAAACATGATTTTCAGAGCCTAGTAAGTTGAATTGATCTCAATAGAGCTTGAAAGTTACGTTTTTTTAATGTACAGTTTACATAACAATATACTGTTTAAATACCATAGTTATGTATTACGACATTTGTAAGGTACTCGAGAGAGAACACATGACCCTATCATGGTACATGTCCAAAAAAAAGTATTACAATGGCACTTTTTTGTTCATGTATTGTTGCTAGTGTAAAATCATAACAAATTAACCTGAGACAGCAGGGTAGGAGTTTTATTTAAACAAATTATATACATACATTATATATATATATATATATATATATATATGAAGAGTTCAGATGCAAAAGCCTCTAAATGCCATTTGAAATTTTCTTCTAAAATGACCATTTTTATCAAGCTTGTATATTTAAGTTCAGTAATTTCACTTAAATGGCAATGATAATTACCTATTAATTGTCATTTAAGTGAAATTACTGAACTTAAATATACAAAGTTGATAAAAATGGTCATTTTAGAAGAAAATTTCAAATGGCATTTAGAGGCTTTTGCATCTGAACTCTTCATATATATATATATATATATTACTATGTATTTTATTGTTGACAGTGAACAAAACATGGCATCATTGTGCCACTTGTTAATGTATTGTTGCTTTTCCCCCAGACATGATATCCTAGATAATATAATGACGCTACCTAGTGTTTGCTACTGACCTCTGCACTGTGAGCAGCACTGTCCCGGTGGGGTGACAGGGTTCCGGCAGGAAACCACAGGACAGGCGACCCTGGTGCACGTGACAGAGCCGCTCTGACACACACAGCGCCTGCAGGGGTCCGAGGGGGCGTTGAACATCTGCGTGTTTGCATACCTCCGCCCTTCAAACAGACATTCGTCACACACCGGACAGCAGTGCCTAATGTGTACCGGATGTGTGCACTGCTGAGAACACGGCTTTTTCTCACAGGACACGACTCCGCTCTGGAAAACAAATGCAAAAATATGTTTGGTTCTATGTTATGGTGATGGTGTCAAATGGTAATACCTTGATATATTGATATACAGTATGCATTTGCCAAAATGACAGCATCCTTGCCACTGTTGCCTTTGGCTTTTGGCTTGCTTAGTTCGGGACACTTAATATTTAAGAATATTACTGTCTGCATTGACACCAATATATATGATGTCATCACTGTTTTGGCAATATACAGTATATAAAAATTAATAACTTTTTTACAACAAAAATGAAACATCACTGAACTTATGTAAGCTGGACTATGATGCTATTTTCTTCTAGATTTGCTGTACAGCAGAAACAAACTTTGTAATAAAGGCTTTGTAAATAAAGGTAACGACTTGACAATGTTACTGCTTAATTACCATATGTGCAGTACTATGGTATTTGCATGGTATGCGAGAGGGAATGATAGTACACACTACATGCCCAAAAAACATGTTAATACAAAGGAATTATTTAAATAATTCTTTTATTTTATTATTTTATTTTACATTTCATAAATTTGAAATAATTTTTTCTTTTATATTCCATTAATTTATTTTATTGTTGAAAAAACTTGGTATTTCAATACGCCTTATTCACGGCAGCGCCATCTTTGATTTTTAATGAGAATGAAAGCGAGGCGGTGAGGGATAGACATGCATCTCTTCTATGGGCTGGACTACTATTTAATGTGTTTTCGGATTGTTCTGCTCATGAAACACTGAAAAAATATCTTTCCAAGAAATTTCAGTTGACAAAAAAATCCCAACATTGTAAGCTGTGGAAAATTGTAAGTTATCTAGGAGCTTTATTCAGCTTTTTACAGCGGATGCCATTGGAAACACAGTAAGTCTATCCCTCACAGCCTCACTTTCATACCTGTCATGGCGCTGCTCTGAATAAGGTCTATGGTATATTTCAATATTTTTTGTCAATGCGTTGTCGCTAGTGTATTTTGGCGATAACTATATTATTCTTCACTATGGTAAATGTAGACATATACACCGGTGGTCTTACCACGCATGTGCAGGTAGAGCAGTGGTCGTTGGGTGGGGTGAATGTGGCACTGTTCTCGTACACCTGTCCCAGGTGTTCACATATCCCTATGCACACAGGACAGCACTCACCTGGAGGGCGCACAGGGTGCTTGCAAGACACTTCTGGACAAGACACGGGTGTGCATGATACACTTCCATTCTACACATATACACAACACAGTATGTATTAAGTGAAACTACAACACAGTGGCAGCAACAGAAAAAATACATTACACAAAAAATCTATATTGATATATGGTTTAAAATGAAGATGAACTTTGGTAACAAAGTGAGGTTTATTTGTGTACCAGGCAAATACAGCCCCGGCAGTGGTCGTTGGGATCAGGGAAGCGTTCTCCATTTTCACAATCCCGACTGCGGTAATGACAGCCCTCACACATTTGACATGCGCAGGGGTCCCGCTGAGGGTGAGGGCAGGAGATCGTGGGACAGCTTTTAGGAGAACACTGAACCTCACCTTTCTGATAAACAAAAACATCCAGCCCCACCATTAATTCACATACACTCACATAAAATCGAATTACTTTGATAAATTTTATACAAATATAACGATAGAAAGAATGATAGATAGAACGAATGATAGATAAACGATAGAATGATAGATAGAACGAATGATAGATAAACACTGTTTATTTGAATTATGTAAAAACAAAATGTTGCATATATTCCAAGCTAGCCAGATAGATAGATAGATAGATAGATAGATAGATAGATAGATAGATAGATAGATAGATAGATAGATAGATAGATAGATAGATAGATAGATAGATAGATAGATAGATAGATACTTACAGAACATCTGCACTCCTCACATGATGCTGTGGGTGATTGGAATGACTCACCATCTGCATAAACTCTTCCCTCAAACTGACAGCCTGTACAATAAACAAACACACACACACAAACACGCTTATGCCACAGCCACGAACCCTATTTTGTAACTTGCAAGGCAGTTGCAGGTGTTATGATGGGGAGGGGTATTCTCATTCTAAAGAGGATCTGATTGGACAAAAATCATTGTAGTGCAGGATGAGTCATCAATACTTTGTTCTCATTTGTATCAGAAGAGAATTACTGTAAAATTTCAATTCTGCTGAAAGTGCACTTTGTCTTTAGACACTGTGTGATGCGGTACCTTCACACACAGGACAACACTGGTCCGCCCTTTTGGTGGGGTAACCACATCCTGGATTGTGACAGGGTCTCCCATTGCAGGTCACGTGACCATTCATGCACCTGCAACGACCGCAGTGATCAGAAGGGTCTGCAAACTCCTGACCGTTCAGGTACTCCACGCCAGCATACTTGCAGCCTGAAGAAGAAGGAAAAAAATACAACTCATAATAATAATAATAATGATAACAACAATATCAAATAAATTCTCAAACACATACCATCACATTGTTGGAAGCACTTGCCTTGTATATTTTTCTGACCCCAAACTTTTGTACGGAACTATGCACATATATAAAAAATATCATTAAAGCTCTCACATGCACTTCATGGGGTTTTTATAAAACGTCTCACCATCACATGTGCGACAGCACTCTTGAGTTATGGGGTTAGAGCAGGACGCAGAGGGGCAAGGCCTGTGCCGGCATGAAATTGTCCCATTGGTGCAGATGCATAATTGACAGCTGTCAGTGGGATGGTGGAACTGCTGCCCGTGTCTGTAAAGCTGTCTTTCAACATTGCAGTCAGCAAGGGGTGCTGTAAGGAGTGAGATAAACACATTTACATCTACATAGGGGTGTAATGATGTCACATCAATGTTGGAATTAGGGTAATTTTGAGTTGCTGAATAGTAAATAGCATGTGAACAGCGTAGAGTACAATCTTGAAATTGTCATCTTGTAATTAAGGTGATTCAGACATGACGTGATTGTGGTGTAAGAGCAGCAGTGTGACCTGGACACTGGCGGCAGCACTCTCCTGGCAGAACAAACGAATCAGCACAATGCACCGCTGGACATCGCTTCATCAGACACTGGATGTTACCATTCTACAGACAAACACACACAGATACACTCACAGATGCACAGTAAGTCTGTGATATGTGTGGTGGATGTATTGGCACTACCATTCAAAAGTTTTATAGTATTTTAACTCAGCAAGGATTTATTATAATGATCAAAAATCACTGTAAAAACAAAAAGAATTTCACAAAAGATTTGAACATTCTATTCTTGAAAGACCCTGAATATTTTCCACAAAAATCTTGAGCAGCACAACTCATTTTTTTAAAATGTATTTATTTATTTGATATGGACATAACAACAGCATTGGACAAACCAGATGCATTGTTTTTAGTGTTATAGCAAAACTGCTAATTTACAATTTCAACATTGACAATAAGAAATATACATTGAGCAGCAAATCAGGATCATGTGACACTGAAGACTGAAGTAATGATGCTGAAAATTCAGCTTTGCATCAAAGGAATAAATTCCATTTGAAAATATAAAGGGAGGGGGGTATAGTACAGTATGACCGTTTGATTGACGCATTTTCTGTCCAATGATTCTAGGTGGTCTTGGAAATGATTGGCTAGATATTTTTCCTGCCTGTTCCACAGATTATTAAATTGCTTAATTTTCATTTCACTAACTCAGTGGCTGTAAGTGGGTTAGAAATAGGATTTCAAGTGATTTTGGTCAAAAAAAAGAAAGAAAATCACATACCCAACCTTAAATAATGTTATAATATTTCATAAAATTAATTAATGCACCCTTGAAAGAGATTTCTTTCTCACAACCCCAAATATTTGAATGGTCGCGTTTGAGACAGAGACACTTACGGTGCAACGGCACGTCCTGCATTTGTCTTCTGGATGTGGAAATTCCATTCCATTTGGATACTCTCTACCTGCATGACTACATCCTGAAGGAAAGGGTGAAGAGCTTTATAAGTGACTGGTTTACATATACTTACAGGAAAGAGTTTTGTTTCTCCTAAACAGAAATGTAATTGAATGAAAAGAAATTCGAAAATTTTATGCAAACACAGAAAATTCCATTATTTATGTCTCAATGTCTCATCAAATTCTTTCAAGACCAAACAATCTAAGCTTTCCACATTCTTTTAGCTGTATACTCTAATTTGTGTCTATTTAAGGTTAGAAATTAAGAGGCATTTTTTTAGACAAAAATGCCCTCAAAAAATCTAAATATAGGGGACAAATCTGCCCCTAATGAATTAATATACAATTCTAGGTAAAAATATACATATTATAACATACATTTTAGTTTATTGTGGTTTAATTTGATTGGTAATACACAAGTTACCTAAATGCGCATTCATTAAGGTAAAAAAAAAAGTTAAAGTTAAAAATGAACCAAATTTGTTCTAAAGCAATTGATATTTAAGGATCGCCTCTCACCATTGCAGTTGTTTTGGCAGCACGTCCCCGGCCGAGGATAGTTGCAGTTCGGCCTTGGACACTCGCGATTCCCACAGTCCACACGCCCATCAGTGCAAACACAATCCTCACATGGATTCTCAGGATTTGGAACTGTACCTCCATTAGTAATGATGCGGTTATCATATTCACAGACATCTAAGGGAAGAAAATGTCAAATGGCAAGAGGAGACAATAACTGTCAGTGTGCACACTATGATCAAGCCTTTTCCTCCAGCCGATATGAAAACCGGTTTCTATTTCATAGTACCTTAGAGTGGTGGGTAACCGTTAGGGCCATCTAGGACCTACAGTTTTTCAACTCAAATGAGCCCTCTTTCGAAAGCCTCCATTCAGTTGCTAACTCAGATGCATTTCCAAATGCTCTGTCCCCTCGATGGCCAGCAGCGTTCGACCTGAAGGAAAGTACTTCAGATCTCGATCCCTCTGCTCCACAGATCATTCTGTGTTCTTGCGTTCGAAGGTGCGAAACATCAGTACAAGGTCCTACCCTTCGAATGCTCCAAAGCCAGTTGGGACTTCAGGTCGCCTGTAAGAGAGTAATCTCGCCCTCAGGCTGAGTATCTCTTTTTCAGTTTGGAGAAGGATTCGGTCCAACACGGCAACACGAAAGAGTGTGTTCAGTTGGTGCTATTTAGAAGTGAAAAAGGGTCCCACTGAAAGAACTTTCAGCGGCTCCTGGGGCATATGGCAGATGCAGCAGCTTGGCTTCCACCATAAAGTCCGCTTCAGCACTAGCTTCATGATCGAGTCCTGAGGTGACTGTGGCGGAGCGGCATGCCCTGTGTGACAACAGTTCACCCCGGCCTGCTGCCAAACCCTCAGTCCGTGATCAGACCTTTTGTTTCTCCAGGCCAATCTGCTCCCAGCACGAGGTCTACTAAGACCGTCTGAGGGGCCATGTATAAAGGGCATGCTTTATCTCAGGGTTCCTCAAACGCGGTCCTGGAGAGTTTAGCTCCAACTCTGATTAAACACACCTACCTGTGAGTTTCTAGTGATTCTGAAGACCTTGATTAGCTTGCTCAGGTGTGTTTGATCAGGGTTGGAGCTGGCCCTCCAGGACCGAGTTTGAGGAACCCTGCTTTATCTGCATTGGCATCCATGCCTCGAGTTGTTGCAGTTCTCCTCGCTTTGAGCCATTGTTGCTCAGCGAGCTGATACTGGTCTGATTGCGACCGTTGCGCTATACTTCCCTCGCATCTCACAACTCACCCGTCACCTCCTCTTTGGGGTCAGAAGCTTCTGAGGTGAGGACGCTTCATTCCACTATTCTTCCGGCCTGCTTAACCGTGTCGCAGGGTCGGCGCTATGGTGGGGCATTCGAGGGCCGTGCCCCCCCTAGCGCTCATTGATGCCCCTCCTACCACAGTTTCTAAATCATAAATCAGATGTAGGCTATACAATACCAAATGTTCAGCAATCTATTTAAATAGTACATTGTGTTTAATTTTTTGTCTAAGTGGATCTAATATGTGTTGGTGCCAAGAATTTTCACATGAAGAAATAGATACATCCAATCCGACTTTTCATTGTAAGTGCTGTAGTGGTCCAGTGGTAAAACCTTAGACTGGCGTGCAAAAGATTTTGGGTTCTAACCCACACTCGCATAATTATTTTTTTTCCCCCATCATTAAAACCGATTATGTTTATCAGTGGTTGTCAAGCAGGGACATGTTTGAGTGCATTTTACTTTGGAATTCACCGGTACGAATAGAGATTTCGCCGCAACAGATCAAGCGCGCGTCCGTGTGAAGATGTTTATTGTGGCAGCGCGAGCCACAAGAGAACACTTCAGCACCACAGATCGAGTCACCGAGCACTTTGATCACTTGATTTAAAAAACAACACATTTCAGCGTGCTATATCGCCTCTTATTTAACAAATGAATGCGGATATGTTTTATTTATTTGTATTGGTACATCCGTGCCGCGAGATCGAGATGTATAAAAGTGCCGGGACAACATCGACCCTGGCAAAAAGTGGTGGGGAAATTCGCAAATAATAATTATAAATAATAATTATAATAATAAAAGGTGTTTCGTTTTTTGTTTTTTTGCGTCAAAATATTTCTTAAACGGCAGTGCCCCCCCACTGATGACCCAATGCCCCTCCAGTAGATCTGCTCTGGCGCCGACTCTGCCGTGTCGCCAACGAGCCTCACGAAAGCTTTGGCCAGGGAGAGTAGAGACTCCATCCCCTGGCGGTCCAGCTGGGCAGGGACTTTCTCTGGGCCGCACAAAAACATCTGTTTGCCTCTCCGGGGTCCTCCTCCTTCTGGCAGTTGTTATTCTGCCTGAGCGGACAACCCTTGGACAGACACTGGCTCTCAGCTGGCCTCAGGGCTCCATAAAAATGCGTTCCCCGGTGAGTCTCCTAAAAAGTCTGTGATTCATTGTTGCGTGGCGCCTGCTCAAGTTCAGTGATTTCATCACACTCACATGTTGAGCAGAAATGCTCCTGAAACTCATTGAAGTTCATCGCACTCGGGTGTTGAGCAGAAATGCTCCTAAAGCTCAGTGATCTTCACATGTATTGTTGAGCAGTGCTCCTGTGTTTTGTGCGCCTTTCGCTTGTGCCTACTGTGCCAGGTCAGGTCTTGATAGTTGCCCCTTTTTGGCCCAAACAGACCTTGCTCCCCTCGACAGCCTTCCTGACTTCCCCTGAATACATTTTCAGGGACGGGGGATGATGGCACCCGCGTTCTGACCCCTGGAGATCCCGGGCCGGTCCTACACTGGATGCGGAGGTTTGGGGTTGCTATCGCAGGAACATGTGGCAGTTACCATCACTTCTGTGAGAACAGGTAGTGTGCTTACACATTAAAAGTGGAACCTATTCGTTGAGTGAGTCTTCTCTCCGTGAGGAGATCCTGAAAACTTTCGATTATTTCAGTGCTCTCTTTCCTGCAAGATGGGTGGAGTAGGCTGTTACTCCACCCTCAAAATGATGTTGCCGCTGTCTTGGTGCACATCGGGATGCAGAAGCATGGAAAGCACATCCTGATCATCAGGTTCCTGAGGGAGCTAAGGAAAATGTCCTTGCACCCCTCTTTATCCTCTCGGGCCTTATCTCTGGTGCAACTGCAAATTCTATGAGAACAGTTCTCCTGTTCGCATGGTCTTTACTAGAGATATCTCAATTTCTAATTTTAATATGTTGAATTAATGCTAAATATATTTTAATATGCATATATATTTTCAGATTTATTTTTAAATAGATTTCAAATTATACTAAATTAGTCCAAAAAATTGCTAATATAATATATATGTATATTTTAAAAAATTCAAATGTTCCAATTTTTGATGAATGAAAAGGGCACAAGGATGACTAAGACAATGAAAATATATTTAGAAATATATACTGTATATTAGATTATAATATTTTTCTCTTTTTAGTTGTAGTATATTTTAATATTTGAAGATTGAAAAAATATATTCCTTAAGCCACCCTGTTTACAAAATATATTCAGAATTTATTTTAACTATATTTGGGTCAGATTTGTTTTCAAATCATTTACTTTCTATCTTTTACTTTGTATGCTGCTTTAAAATGCAGCGGCCTATGTAGACAACTATGCAGGCTTTTAAATATGTCACTTTTCTTCCTTTCTTTGTCTTGTCTTTTCTTCTCTCTCTTACCTGGCAGTATGGTGGGCTCTAGGTAGGGCCCGGGGGCACAATTTTGACTACATGTAGCCTGCCCCCCCACACAAGAACAGCTTTGGTCAGCGTAAGTCCACGTGTCTCCTTCCTCATACTGAACGCCATTCCACAAACATCCTACAAACACAGAATGAACACACGTAACCCTTAAAAAGTTTGGAGTTGGTAAGATTTTTTAATCTTTTAAAGGAAGTAACTGATGCTCTTCATGGCAGCATTTATTTGACAAAAAACAGTTAAAAAACTTTTCAATTTGAATATATTTTCAAATATAATTTATTCCTGTGATGCAAAGCGTAATTTTTCAGCATCATTACTCCAGTTTTCAGTGTCAGATGATCCTTCTAAAATCATTCTAATATGCTGATTTGCTGAAAAATAATATAATTCTGACCCTAAACCTTTGAATAGTAGTGTATGTTAGAATGTGCCTTGTGCAAGCAGTGAGTCAATAGCAGCACTACGTGTCTGTGTCAGTGTCGTACCTCTGCACACTGGGCAGCAGATGTTAGGAGAAACGGAAGTGGGAACTGCACAATTCAAAGATGGGCATCTTTCCTGGTGACATCTCACGTTACCCCCCTTTAACAAAAAAAAAAAAAAACTCACACAAGAATCAATGGCTTCAATGCCTTCAAACCTAGCATGATATCAGATGTTTTTTTTATATTTGATGTGTGTGCTGTTTGAATATGCACATTTGCAAATGATATTCAAAGCAGATAACAACCTAAATTTAGTAAATTGTGCCCTGTTCCTCACATAAAACTATCATATGGCTTTAGATGATTTTGAAATAAAGTGCATGAGTCACATGGGCAACTTCTATGGTACATTTATGATACTTTGTGTATGTTTGTGTGTTCTTTTTTACGTTTTAACATGGGTTTTTGTTTAAGTCATAGTTGTTGTCTTTTGACAAATATTCTTTAAATTTACTCTACTGTCTCATTATATTTATCAATTTTAGCCAAATATAAAAAGATTACAGTAAACCAAATACTTTTTATATAATAATTTTAGCATGTATCAACATTTAACAAAAACACCATTTTATAAACAGTATGCTGTCTTTAATTACAGTACTTTGAAAAATCCATTGTCAAAATCAAACATTTTTCATCAATAATTTCATTAAAGAGATAAACATCGGTGTAGGGTGGATTCACAATAGCACTTTTCACTCTAAATGTGTGTGTGTGTGTATTTCACCTTGCATGTACACTGAAGGCATGGACCACCACCGGGAGGCCTGAATTCTTGTCCATCTTCATAAATCCTTCCTTCATATTTACACACTGAAACGCAGTAAAAACACATTTTTCACTTATGTGTTTGGAAGCCAGGACCACTTTGATATTATGTTGCATGTTAGAGAAGGAGAGGAGGAAAGAGATGTTTGTGTTTGTCTTCTTTACTGTGACAAGTAGGGCAGCACTGGCCATGTGAATTTGTTGGGTGAGTGCAACTGGGAGGCGGACATGAAGATATTGAAGATTCACATGACACTTGCCCACCCTGTATCATAAGATGGACACATTCACATACAAATACATTCAAATGTTCACACATTTAGTAAACACTTTTATCTAAGGTTACACACTCACACAGTCAACTCACCAAGCATTGACATTTCAAGCACGGATCCTCTCTGGATACGAAGGTTTGACCGTCTGTGTATACAATATCCTCATATATACACTGCTCACATCTGAACACAAATTGATTAAGATGAAGTGTTTACTTCAAGATGCCCATCTTGTTTACTACTTTAGGCAAAAATTGTTATGAAAAAACGATATTAATACCGTTCACAACATTCTCCTGGTCTCTTCACTGGATTATAACAGGGAGTTGGTGGGCAGGGGTACTGAACGCAATTAATATTTCCATTCTGAAAAAAAAAAAAAAAAGCTTCTGCTAGAATGCTATTTTATTTATTTTTTTGGAAAACCATTTCATCCAAACCAATTTACAACATTTTGCACTTTTATTAAAATTAATTTGCACTGCATTTAAGGTATACATTTTAAAATAAAATAAAATAATAAAATAAAATCTCTTATTCAACTCAGTTCTTATGCAACTTACCACACATGTACATCTGCCCTCACACTGGGGTCCTGGCGGCAATTCCATCCCATTTGGGATGTCCCTTCCATTCACATTACAACCTGTGAGAAAAATATGTATGTATAGAAATATATGTAAATATATCAAACTCATGTGAAGTATAAGTAGCCACTTAAAGGAGTTGTTCACTTTAAAAAAAAACTTTTATCCAAGATATCCATGTCTTTCTTTTTTCAGTCTATAAGAAATTAAGGTTTTTGATGAAAACATTCCAGAATTTTTCTCCATATAATGCACTTCAATGGGAACCAAACGGTTCAAAGTCCAAAAGACAGTTTCAGTGCAAACTGCAAACTGTTCAAAGGGCTTTAAACGATTCCAGACGATGAATAAGGGTCTTATCAAGCGAAACGATCAGTCATTTCAAAAATAAATAACAAAGTTTAAGTTTTATAAGTTCAAATGGTCGCTTTGCTCTTTTCTGTGAAGCAGGTTCGTGATCTCCTGTTCAAACTCGTCTATCAAAATGAACAAATCTTTTTTCGAGTCATTTGGTTCATTCAACGAACGAAATGAACGAATTGACTTGGGAAAAGATTTGTTCATTTTCATGAACGCGTTCGAACAGGAGAGTCACAAACTGAAACTGTCTTTTGGACCTTGAACCGTTTGGTTACCAGTAAAGTGCATTATATGGAGAAAATTCCAGTAATGTTTACATTAAAAACCTTAATTTCTTTTCGACTAAAGAAAAAAAGACATGGATATCTTGGATGACATGGGGGTGAGTAAATTATCAGCAAAAGTTTTTTTTAAAAGTAAACTACTCCTTTAATAGCCACTTCTATCTGAAGCGATATAGCCATAGCCTGTCAATAAATGTTTGTAATAGACCTAGGTTAATAGACCTATCGTGGTATTGTTCAATTCTAACAAATGAAAAATGTCAACAAATTAATCAGTCACAATAATACAAGCAATGTGTGTATCAATTTGATTGCATGCTCTCAAATGTTCTGATTTAGAGTGTTTTAAAAGTATGGTAACAAGTTATTTTTAAAAGTTTGGACACACCGTCACAGACAGGGCAGCAGGATCCGGGGGGAGCAGAGGCTGGGTTTCTACAGGGGACATGACAGAGTGCACGCTCACACTGAACCCTACCCTCCTACATAGAGAGAGAGAAAGAGAGAGAGAGAGAGAGAGAGAGAGAGAGAGAGAGAGAGAGAGAGAGAGAGAGAGAGAGAGAGAGAGAGAGAGAGAGAGAGAGAGAGAGAGAGAGAGAGAGAGAGAGAGAGAGAGAGAGAGAGAGAGAGAGAGAGAGAGAGAGGGGAAGGGAGATTACATTTAAAGACTAAAACACTGATACTGAAACACTTAAACACTGATAGCCCATGAGATATAATATACCCCACCATGCATCTACAGGTTGTGCAGGGGTCATCAGGATAGGTCCACTGAGAATCGTGCAGGTGCCACACATTGTTCTGGACACAACCTTCATATCAAACAAAATACTTTTTTATTGAGTATGAGCATGTCTGAGCAAGTTGCATGTTATTAAAATGTACAAAAATGTACAAAAACCTCACATCACACTTACTTCGACACCTAGGACAGCACTGCCCACCTACAGTCTCCACCAAACGACAAGGAAGTAGAGTAGGACACGACTGAGTTTCACATTGTATATTCCCTGCCTACAAGAAGAAAAAAAAAAAACACATACACACACAAAACACACACACAACCTCTTTAATTAATGCTGATTTCACAAATACACAGCAAATGGCCAAAAGCACCATTGTAGAGGACATATGTAGTGAATTCATTTTAGAATATACTCAATGCAAGATGTGTTTAGAAGTGAATTACGTAATATTTTTGGCCAACATTAAGAGTAATGCATAGCAAGCAATGTGTATTATGTACAGTGCTAGCCTATTATTGGTAACTAAAACAAAATATATGAAATATTTTGAGCTGAAAAGATTGAAATAAAATAAAAATATTACACGAAAAACAAAGTAAAAAAACTAGAAGAAATAATAAACACTTGTAATGTAATCAAATTTCATTAAATATAACAAAATTAGCTAAACTAATGAGTAAAGTAACACTACTTTTTTGGATTTACGACATAATGCTTGTTTCAATTTGTTTGTTTTCAATTTTTACATTAATTTTGCGAAAAATGCAAAACTTATATTTGCGAACCTACATACAGGCCTACATTTTACAGAAAAACGTTTAAGTCACACTAATTAAGTGGTGGGATACAACTATAAAACTACTCTACATAATAAATAAGAATATATAATGTAAACCGATAAGCACATTACTTTTAAAGTAGTCTGTGAGAGAGAAAAAGTGTAAAGACAGTCCAAAAGTTATGTCTACTAAATTCTAAATAAATAGTTCACAAATGCAAGCGCTTAATATAATAATATAAAATATCATTTCTTTTAAATAATAATTACAATATCCTAATGTTAATGTCTAATTGTAACTATGTGGTTGATGAATACCAAAAAGGCTTACATTGCACACACAGTGTTTGCAGGGGTCACGGTTGGGTTGAAAAGAGACGCCGTCTAGGACAACTTGCCCCTCATAGTTACAGCGGGAACAATCTCTGCAGCAGGAGCCAAACGGTGGCTTCACACCATCTAGACACGTCTGAGGACACTGCTGCACATCAACACACGCCTCATTCCCACCCTGATGAGCAAAATACAAAACACAGCACAGTTTTACGCAAACAATAGGGTCATTTCATCCACTAACATGTATTACTTTATTAGTGTAACACGTGAGAGAGAAGCACCTGACAGGTACAGGTCTGGCAGCCATCAATGGTGCTGAAAGGGTCGTTGTATGGCCGACCGCCCACATCACATGCTGCAAAGGACATAATAGGCACGCAAATTTCTGTGTAAGTGGTCCCAGAACCATTAGTCAACAAGAAATGTCAAATAAATAGCTCAATAGTGCTTGTGAGCGTGTACCAGAGCAGGTAGGGCAACACTCCCCCTGTCTCATGTAGGGGTTTGGACACGGGGTGGGCGGACACTCAATGGGATTACATGACACCTCACTGTTCTGCAAATAAACACATGCATAATGCATTACACATTAATTATTCGTCTTAATTCTGTTCTGCATTCTCTACAACACCCACACCTGACATATACAGTGATGTGAATAAGTTTGGACACCCATGCTAAAGTTGCCTAAAAAGAGGAATAAAAAAATCATCTTTTGGATATTGATCTTAAAGCCTTATTTTAAAAAATGAGGAAAACTACAACCTTTAAGGACACAAATCTTCTTTGTGAATGAATAATGTATCATAAATGAATAAATGTTTTTTTTCCTTAAAATACAAGGTGCATAAGTCAGGACACCCCTATGTTAAATTCCCATAGAGTCAGGCAGATTTTTATTTTTAAAAGCCAGTTATTTCATGGATCCAGGATAATATGCATCCTGATAAAGTTCCCTTGGCCTTTGGAATTAAAATAGACCCACATCATCACACACCTTCCACCACGCCTAGAGATTGGCATGGGGTACTTTCCATGAGATCATCTTTCAATGCAAATCAAACCAGCTATTAGGCTAACTGAAGTAAAACCATGCCAATCTCTAGGCATGGTGAATGATGTGGGGATATTTTAATTTTAAAGAGACTTTATTCATTCACAAAGAAAATTGGTGTCCTTCAAAGGTTTGATTTTTCCTAATTTTTTTAATTAAGGCATTAAGAGCAATATCCAAAAGATGATTTTTTATTTCTCTTTTTAGGCAACTTTAGCATGGGTGTCCAAACTTATTCACATCACTGTAGTTTTTATTAATTTTTACGTATTAGTTTTAGTTTATTTCATTTTTATTTTAGTACTTCCAATTAAACAAAACAAAAATGAGTGTTGCCTAGGCAGCTGGCATTTATTTTTCTTTGAGGTAAAAAATTTGTTTTTATTTCTTTTGCATTTACATTTATTCATTTGGCTGACGAACATTTACAGCAAACTCAATTTTGATATCAGATGTTGTAAATAATTTTAAATAAGCATTGATATTCTTTACTTTAATTTGAATAATTTTATTAAATGTTAAACTGCTAGCATTGCATCAAAATATTTCACTGAAAAACTTAACATACATTGACCATTTTTATAGGAGCATCTCCAAAACTTATTTTATTTATTTTTTAATTTTTTAATTTTTTAAATAGGGACAGATATTACATAAAGAACAATCCGATGCCTGTATCATAGTGTTTATAGCCAAGGCTAATTCGCAACACCTGCCCCTAGAAGGGCTTTTAACAATCAAGAAAAACAAAGGAATAAAAAAAAATGACAGTGAATACAATAAAATGTCAAGAAACCAGTTAGCACCAATAAAAATGAGTAAATAAACACATTCACTCAAACTCACTTAATCATGTCTTTTGCCATTTCAGTTTTACCATTGAACCTTTTTTTTAACATTTACACTCATGCAAAGTATTTGCACATTATATGAACAAACACACACACACACACACACAGTAGACTCACAGAGCAGATGCATTTGTGGCAAGGGTTGGATCTCGATACAAACACATCACCGTTCTCATGGATTTCACCTTCATGTCTACATTCTAAAGATTAACACGAAGAAATGATGTATGAAGCAAATGCAAGTTGTAAGTACTTTTTGGAAAACCATGTTAATATCATATTTTATGAATATAGCAATCATTCAATGATTCATACATATATGAATATAGCACTAATTAATTGATTCATACTCATTCATACATATGAAAGTACAGTGTGGGTATTATATGTAGAGATGCAATGTAGGTACTTGTTTGGTAGGCAGGGCAGCATGGTCTCTGAGGATCAGACGGCTCCTCACAGGTCTGTGGTGGACATGGAATCATTTCGCATTCTACTCTTCCATTCTACACACACACACACACACACACAGACAAGAGATGCCAGTATGAGAGAAGCAAAGGAATATATCGAAAAGGCTAAAAGAAGATCAAAGACTAAATATTTTAGATATGCATACCTTACAAGTACACCGGTTGCAGTCGTCTGTGCTGAAGGCATCGCCATCATTATAGATATTTCCATGAAAGCTGCATTCTGCAATAACCAATCAGAGACATACACACAGTTTATTGTGGTGGAAGGAAACCCCTATGAAACCTTCTGAGATAATCATGTGAGATAAACCACATTTTTCCTGCCCACATAAGATCAAATCTTTTCAACAATATGAACTCTAAAAGATGTCTATAAGTATTCATGATAGACTGCTCCAGACATCTGATGTCTGAAAAAGAGTTTTAACGGCAGTTCAGTTGAGTTCAATGATATATAAAGTGGGGTTGAAAAGTTTGAGACTAAACTCAAACTTCCTTAATTCAAAATTCTAATTTCCAAATGTATATACGCAGAATTAAGGATTCTGAAAAATTAAAAACACAGACATGACGTTCAAATAAACAGGAAGTCTGGGGCACTGAAAATGAATATAAGTTTAAAAAGCCTTTATTTAAACTTGGCTATCCATTAAAGCAGCACTATGTAACTTTTTCAACCTTTATAATATTTTTCCAAAACCCCTGAGATGGTACATCGACTTACAGGTCTGCCATATACAGCCTGGCAGTGTCTGTATCGCTTTTACTGGCACTATGTAACTTCGAGGTGCGGGTAAGAACCCAAGCATAAAAAGAACTACAAAATTTGACTGCTTTACGGCATACGTCACTTCCCTCACTTCCTCAAATTCCGACGCGAGAGCCCATCAAGCATTTTTTTTTTACCTCTGTATGTTGTCATGGCTATAATATTGACAATATGGCTATTATCTACTACACAATTAAATATTCATAGATATTCAATTCATTGAATTAATTTATCATATCCATTATGTAAAACAGTAGCCAATAGGCTATCGTTACTATAAAGACGCTGGCTTGTAAACGTGAGCTACGTGATCTTTTGAAGTTTGAAAAAAAATAAAGCCCATGAAACTATATTCATATGACATGCTGAAATATATGCCAATGTGCCTGGGATGAAGACATTTCACACGCAATGCTGGAGTCTGCCAAAGATGTGAGAACTCCTTCCTTCTGCAGAGTTCGGGGGTATCACTTGTCAACAAATGCTTGTGTGTATTCCCTGGTGTAACCATGACAGATTTTATGACAGTAGTAGAAGACAATACTGTTTCCCAACTGTAGGGGGACCCTGAGAGCAAAATTTAAAAAGTAACATAATGCTGCTTTAAAAAAAACATGTTTCGGCCTTTTTGGCCTTCCTCGGGGCAAATTCAAACTGGCAGTCCATAGACTCAGACTTCCTGTTTATTTGAGAATCATTTTGGATCTCCAAACTCAAGAGTACCAAAGGAACACATTTCTCAACACCCAAGTAGCACTCCTAGTGACTCATTTGCAGACATGACTTTATTGATGTAAAGTGAAAAGAAAAATGTTATATCATCTTAATCAAATAAGTATATTAGTGACATTGATTATGCAATGCCTTTGTACAGATGGTGAGATGTTCTTCTTTTGATTAAAGCAAAATATGCTTTAATATCATTACCATTAATGCATCATCATTATCACAATTTATTGTATTGTATGTTATTAATGTTTTTAATATCTTACTTGTCAAGATCACCCAGATTGAAACTTGCTGGCCTCGGAAAGTTATTAAAGACATCGTTAAAATAGTCCAAGTGACTACAGTGGCTCAATCTTAACATTATCAAGCGACGAGAACACTTTTGTGCGCAAAAACAAACAAAAATAACGACTTTATTTCAACTATTCACTTCCTTCTCTCTCTGCCTCGAGTCAGGTTACTAGGTTAACAGCGTATGATCTGTTATTGTACGTCACACGCATCACACACATGACCAGCGTCGGCCAATAGTGAGCCTACGTGTGACGTAGCTCTACACTATCACACTACGTTAACTGACTACAGGCTCATAGAGAAGGAAGTGAATAGTTGAAATAAAGTCGTTTTTTTTGTTTTGTTTTTGCACACAAAAAGTATTCTCGTCGCTTGATAAAGTTAAGATTGAGCCACTGTAGTCACTTGGACTATTTTAACGATGTCTTTAATAACTTTTCGAGGCCGTCAAGTTTCAATTCCTCAAGAAGCCTATGGACTACTATGCAGGTGTGATCCAGCTCTAAGATGTCATCAAAAATATCTTTATTTGTGTTCCGAAGATGAACGAAGGTCTTACGGGGTTGGAATAACATGAGGGTGAGTAAATACTGTCAGAATTTTCATTTTTGGGTGAACTAACCCTTTAACAAGTTAATGATCAACAGTTGAAATCAATCAGGCATGATGAGTACAATGGTATGGGGAGCCCTTAGGTGGATATGCAAGGCACTCCAACTGGTGATCTTGACAATATTAATGATATACGTATATCAAATATATGTAAATTATTATCATTACCATTATTATTAGGCCTATTAGTCACAGCAGTTTACAATGTATTTATAAATATGTGTGTTACATTTTTTTAAATTACCATTAACTTTAAGGCTGATCACACTTTGTAACCGTCTGAACATTCATATCCCATTTTACAGAGCGAGAACAGGAAAGAAATAAAGATAGAGGGGAAACAAATCTGCACATAGCATGTGTGACAAGTAAACAGACTTACACAAATACACTAAATTATCACACCTGTCTGTGTCAAAAACGAAAATGTCAAAAACTGTCCAACAACATACCATAAAAGCAAAACAGAATAATGTTGATTTGATATTTGTACTGTATATTAGTTTTACAAGGGTCCAAAAGTGCAAATAGGTTTTGAACCACGGTCATTACAAATACTGTTGATGCAGACAGATTAAAGATCTGCAGATACTTTTAATACTGCTACAAACACACATAAACACCCACACCTCACTTTCTAAGTGATTACAGGACTTTAGGGATAACCACTCTACTTGAGGTGTAAACAAACTGAGAAGGAAGTCATTATTTCTGGTTTGCATGTCAATTTCTCTGATCTACGGTTTGATTATTGGCTTGCTGATTAAAGCAGATTAGATGGTTAATGCATATGACATAATGAATTATTTTGTGTTTTGATTCATAATGGTGTTTTGGGGCGGCAGTGGCTCAGTGGTTCATGTGGATTGTCTACAAACCGAAAGGTTGGTGGTTCAATCCTCGGTTCCACCCAGAGTATGTGAGCGGAGTGGAGTGGGAGCGGAGCGAGGAGTGGAGCGGCATGATTTTGAATGGAGCGCGGAGCGGATTTTTTAAAAGTCGGAGCGTCGTGGTTTTCACTCGCTCCGAGCGCGCTCCACTACCGCTCTATCACGAGGACAATTCATGCCAACGGCTCATTATAGAACTGCATTTTTAGTAAGGATTCACGTGTTAAACACATTACGCTAGCATGATACAGATGGATCACTCAAATCAGAAAAAAATGTGAAGGTTATGACGCCGATGGACATGAGTGGCTGCGGGAGGTTATAGTTATCAAGCCAGTACTGAACATGATCGGGCACCACAATCTCATGAAAGTGCGAATCTATAGCACAAATTTTATTTCTCGTGCCAATTATATGCCAAAAAATTGTTTTTGCGTGCAAATGAAACACACTAAATCCCTTGGTTAGGATGGGTGTGAAGTGCGTTCTTGCCATTAAGTGCGTATCGTAGGCTATGCACACGAGAAATAAAATATGTGCTATAGATAGCCTACGCACTTTCATGAGATCGGGCTGGATCGGGTGAAAGCACATTTTAAACAGGTAACACTTATTCACCAACGCAACCGCTTTCTCACTAATGCATTGCATTCAAACAAATGTAATCATACAGTCGGCTATCTGTCAGTATTTGATTTTAAATGAGCATGAATCTGTAAGAAATGTAGCGACCCGTAAAATAAATAACTGATGAAAACGTAGTTATTTTCTTCTTTCCAAACAAAATGTGCTCTGCAAAAAGCAGCAATGATATTTAATTTATAATGCTGATAACCTTTAATAAGCATAGCATGTCATAGGAAAAGTTTGCACACTATCCAAATCCAATAAACAACATTGCAACTATTCTCCTAACGTTGTTTTTTATTATTTTTTATTTATTTAATATGCCTATGTATTATGATGAGGAGACATTTTGTGAGATTTTAAAGCATACTTAAATACTTTATTCGGAATTTCCTTGGGGAGCGAACACGGAGCGGTGTTTCTGATATCAGTGAGCGAGGAGTGGAGCGGGAGCGGTAAATGGTGAACCCGGAGCGGAGCTGGAGCGGAGTGATTATATAATGCTTGGAGCGTGGAGGGGAAATTGTTGCCGCTCCACTCCGCTCACATACTCTGGTTCCACCTAACCAAATGTCGAGGTGTCCATGAGCAAGACACCTAACCCCAGCTGCTCCCGACGAGCTGGCTGGCGCCTTGCATGGCTGACACCGCCGTCAGTGTATGAATGTGTGTGTGAATGGGTGAATGTGAGGCAATATGTAAAGCACTTTGGTGGCCATTAGGTCTATGAAAGCGCTATATAAATGCAGTCCATTTACCATTTTAATTTTGATTTAATGGATGTTAGATTACTCACCACTTAAACGATTACACTGAACTTGGCCATTGGAGCAGGAACAGTCAGTGCGGCTGTCAGGAGACCAGCGATGTCCCTCATCCACCTGGCGTCCTTCATAAACGCACTTTCGTGTGAGTTTTTTTGTACATTCACACGTTTCCAAGTATTCAACCTTCGTCTGCAGGTCAGTGTTCTACATGCACAGAAAATTGATTGAAATGAAAATGTGTGTATAATATCACTTGGTTGTGTTGTGTCATGGTAAAATGAGTTTGTATATATATATATATATATTATAGTTCTGTTAAGAATCTTTTAATTCGCTTTTATTTTTATGTTTTCAATTTTCATAATTTTAGTAAACTTTTTAGCCATTTTGTCATGTGCTTTTATCATTTTTATTGGTTTTAGTTTCTCAACATTGTTTTTATTCATTTATTTTTTTCAGTTAATTTAAGTACTTATTTCAGCTACTTCTTCCATGGTATGGTCATGGTCATAGTACAGGGACAAAATAACAATGATAGTACTATGATACTTGTAACACACATCTTCTAATATGTACCTGTACGTCTTCTAATTGCAGAGACAATTTCTCAATGTACCTGTTTCTTTAGCATGTCCAGCATGGTCTTGATGCTATGCAGTTTGTTCTCCAGTTGGCCTAAACGCAAGTCTGATTCACTGTGGTATCTTGTATCTAATGCTATTTCATCTCCACGGTTTGCCTGGTCATTCATCATATCCAGGTCTGAGATTGCTGATACGGTGGGACTGGTGGGTTGGACTGTGTCAGGAAGGGAGTCTGTAATAATCACACACACATAACAACCGCAAACACACATTATAAAAGAAGATTATATAGTGCTGGGCTTTAATAAATAAAACAAGAGCCCATGTTTTTTTCCCCTAGATAGTTTAGACATATTTGAATATGTGTGAGTCAGTGTTCTATAATGCAGAAGCATGAATTAACCCTGAGTATTCATCAGAATCACAGAAACACTCAAAAAGGACCCCTGATATAATCCTATAAAATCTAAACCTGAATAAAATCTTGTTATCGTTATGGACCTGTATGACCTTTATTTGCAGCTATGAAAGTTTCCTGTTGTGAGTGTTTTTTGAATGTGCATATGTAGTTCAGATGTTTAAATGTTTTATTAGTAATTTCATGCCTGTTACTTTGTCACAGAACCACGGACGCCTCTCATATGCCCTCATGGAGAGTTCAGCGGTCTGCCAAAAACCCTGAAACGATAAGAAAAACACATTCTGTCAGTTCTGTCAACATTAACACAGTAGCAACCCATTGCAAAGTCATGATAGTAACATTGTAAAACACATGAACAATGACCTCTAAAGAATGCTTTATCACAGCGATGAAAATCATTTAACATTAATACTATGAAAGCACAGTTACTGTAGCATTAGCCATGATCAAACTGTAGATTCTAATGTTTAAGCCAAAGGGTCAGTGTTCGGCTGGTTAAACGCATTTTACATTAAAAAGTAGCCATATATCTTGATCCGATCAAATATAAATAGGCCAACTATATTATAGCAGATGTTTTGCCAGTGGCCTATTCTTTTTTTTGAGGGCTTCTAAATGTCAATAGTCTTGCACCAATTTTATTGAGAAGAATGGGAATGCAAATGGATTCCTTTCTCCAGGTCATATAGATATACTTGGTGTCGGCTGATACTTGACAAAGATCCAGAAAATTGAGGAAAACCTGAAATATTTGTTACTGTGGAAAAATATTACTGCCCACACAGACTAAATGTTAAATGCTAAAAGTTTCATGTTAGAGCAGCATGTTTTTAAAGTCCCCGTGAAATCAAAATTGAACCTATTTACTTTGTTAGCGCATATTACTAGTCTTGTGGTGAACAATTAATCCGTGCAAGTGAATATATATAAAAAAATGTTTTACCTTAGTAATCTTTAATCAAAATCTGAAAAGTTACTTCCGGTCTGGAACGGTTTCTTTTTCTGATGACGTAGGTTTCACAATTTGGGTGGGGAAACGCTTAACCACTCCCCTCAAACCGTTAGTTTGCTTTGAGCGAGAGATGGAGAGGAGGAGCGCTAGAGTAAAACCCTGCCCTCTGTTCAATATTCCGTTTCACTTGGAAATACGTCACAGCACTGGAGAAAAATCGTTTGCAACTTCCGGTTCACGGGGACTTTAAAGCAAAAATTTGGAATAATAACAAGTGAATAATGTTTTTTAAATTATTTATTTAAATTATTTATTATGTGTTTATTTGACAGAAAAATACAGCAAAACCAGAAATAATGTGAAAAATTATTTCAATTTAAAATAGCTGATTTCAACTTAATTTAAAAAAAAAAAATTAATTTATTCCTGTGATGCAAAGCTGAATTCAAGTCTTCAGGGTCACATAATCCTTAAAGAAACACATCTAATATGCTGATTTGCCTTAGCCTGGCTAACGCCAGACCACATATCATTGAGAATGAAATGTGGTCTGGAAACCACATGTTCATTTTCTTGTATTTGAGGCGTGGTTTACGAATGCCCGGAGCCGTATTATTGGGTGCTACGTCTATCAAATGTGCCTGTACGTAGCTCATAGCCAATCGGGTCAATCGGGTGATACCAGATGACGCATGTAGAGCAACAGAAAATTAGACAAGGAAAAATATGATGGGAGATTTAACGTAAAACTTCAAATAATAGCCCAGTCCCAAATGGACGCCTGTCTCTTTTACACACCTGGTGTGACTGCAGATTTGGGTAAATAAAAGCCGGTCTCAAATAGAGGCCGGGTCTATTTTTTAGTTTTGGGTTATCATCTTCTAAAAGATCATTCGCTTTTTGCTCGCGCACATTCTCACGTCTTCAAACAACACAAGCCTTGCTCTCTCTCGCTCGTGCATATTAATCAAATCAATTGACACGATAGTAAAAGGTTGGAAAACCGCAGTTTCACGTGAAGCATAAGGAAATTTTTAGTGATTATATGAATCGCAATACTAAATTATAAAGGCTAGTTTCATTTAGACACCTGTCTCAAATACAAGCCGGTGCAGTTCAACGATTTTGGAAAATAAAAACCCGGGCTATTATTTGAAGTTTTATGGTATGTATACACAAAAGCTGTATCAAAAGGTAACTTCGAGTCCGCTGCTAAGATGAATCCACAGATATAAACAAACTGCTTCAGTCGGTGTCGCATAGACGTCGTCAACATCTTGCCGCTCCCTCTCTGTTCTGTGATTAGTTCCCTATCTCAGGGGAAAATTTGGTTCATGGTGTCCAGGCTGCCTAGCAGTGTGAATAAAATCGCACTGCGGCAAGGCAGCATGGGGAAACCCAGGCTAGATTTGCCTCTCAATTATTAATAAATCCTCTTATTATCAATTTTGAAAAATATGTATGATAGCCCCCAAAATATTTGGACATGTAGGGCATTAGTGGCGAATAGCAGACATCTGAAGAGAAATGTACAAAAAGTAGATTGTGAAATATCAAATGATAAAACATATATTGATATAATTTAGACAAAAAGAATTTGGACACATTGTGGTTGTGAAATGTCATTGTAACATGTCCTGAACTACATCATTGGTTATTCTGCTAAAACACCTGTGTGAATCTGATGAGAACTGACATCATACGTTCACCAAAATTCACATTGGGACCAGTTAGAAGTCCAAAAAGTACAAAAGATTAATATTTTTAGCTTCACATAAGTCTCCAAACTAGTGCTGTCAAATCAGTTGACCGTGATTAATCACTTTTAACATAAAAGTTTGTAAATATGTATTTATCAGACCACCACTCAATGTGAAGTTTGTGCCACACAGCTGCCCTAAACTAACTATTGGTGATTACCAAAATTAGTTTTGATGTTTCTATAATGGTTAATCCACCAGTATGTGTAAGCTCTTAAGTCACAGTCAAGACTTGAATCCTATTTAACAAATTTGTGATTTAGTGGATTCAAAGATAGATTGTACAAAAGCAAGTCTCTGGGAACAACAAGAAACTATTTGGAAGTCAATAACAACAGAGACTATGGAAAAGTACAGCAAAAGAACAGCATTCAAAATATTACAGTTTTTATTTAGTATGTCTGAATAAAGACTATTTAGTTGTTTCAGTTTGTTATTTGCCAAACAAATGACAATAAATTGTTTAGTTTTTGGACGCATTCCTAAAATATTTGTTTTCTCTTTATTATGACAGCTAGTCTAATAAATGTGTTAAGCACTGCATATATATGTATGTGTGTGTGTGTGTGTGTGTGTATTACACAATACAGTCAGTATATATATTTGCAAACATTTGACAGACAAACCACATTTTTAGGGACACTACCATGTAGGCAACATACTGTAAGTGTTTGTGTCAATAAACTCACATTGAACTTGCTGGCTTTATTTCCTGCAGTGCTGGAGAACGTGACCTTCAGATCGCGTGGGAAGTCTAGAGTCAGGATTGGTCCACCTTCTTTCTTTTTGAGCACCATGGCCTCCTTGCATTCCACAAACAGCACCACCTGTCTGGGCTCCACACTCAGCGCCATCCTCACCCAACCATCTGTGAAGGGACTCCCGCCTGGCAGCTTGATCACCTCTCTCCGTGAGACGTCCACTGACCTGACCTCCAGCTGCAGCCAGTCTGCTCGGGTGTTGGAGACCAGCTCCAGCAGGGGGCGTCCGTCATGCTTCTGCTGGGCAGGGGAGGTGAGGGAGATGAGAGTGGCCTCCGAGCCTCTTTTTTGCCGGCCCACCAGGTGGAAACCCAGGACGCCCTGGGAAGTGCTAAAGAGGTAGTCGGAAAAGTTCTGGGGTAACGTGAGATGAGGCGTGTGGGAACGAAAACGCCAGGCTGGCATCTCTGAGTCACGACCTTTGGCCCGTTGAGAGTGAGTGACGTTTAGAGCCTTCAAGAGGTTGATTACTAACAGAGGAAAATAATGACATGAAGAATGGCATCAGCATTATGATGACATTAAAAAGCTCCATGACTAGTAATCATTCAGAACCATAGAATATCAAGGTACCATGGTATTACTACAGTATATGACAGTACCACCATGTTACCTACATACAGTAGTTCCTTTTTCGTAAGGGTGTTCTTGTTCGCACAGTCCTGACAGATTAAAATATCTAATTTGTTTAATTTACTACCAGTCAAAAATTTTGAATATTTGTTTAAGATTAATACAATTTGTTTAATGTTTTCGTTTTTAATGCTTACCAAAGCTGCATTTGTTTGATTAAAGGTGCTCTAAGGTCGGGTGACGTGACTTCTTGTTGACGTTTAAAGTATTTTCAAAGAAAATGGAGACTAGATAGACCCTCCCTCCTCCTCATCTGCACTGACCCCCCAAACCCCACCCCCAGGGCCTTCTTGTCAGTTATTTGTTATGTTTCGTGGAGCGGGTTGCCGCAGTTTGTTTTTGTTGCCGTTTGTGGAGCCTGGCTTGTCTGCATAGACTGCGTTTTTTTACAGTGTGTTTAGGGGACAGGCAGCTAGCGGATAGTGAGGAGATGTTTGCTGTATGTGACAAAAAATGTTTGGGCCTAAAAAACCTGTGACCTCGCTTAGAGCACCTTTAAAAATACAGTAAAAACAATGATTTTACTGTATTTTATAATATTTATTAGCATACAAGAATAATTTCAGAAGGATCATGTGACCCTGAAGACTGCTAAAAATGCATCTGTGTCATCATAGAAAAGAATTACATTTTAAAAATATATTAAAATGGAAAACAGTTTAAACAATTTAAATTATTTTTTAATTTAAATAATATTTTACAATATCACTGTTTTTACTGTATTTTTAATCAAACAAATGCAGCCTTGGTAAGCATAAAAGACTTATTAAAAAAGAAAACATTTTACTGAGATTTATATAATGTTTAGAAAATATAATTACTGTTTTTAAAAGTAAAACAAATGCGGCCTTGATGAGCAGAGAAAAATCTAAACTATTCCACATTTTTAAATCGTACTGTATCGGCATCATGCAGAAGAAAGATTTTTAACAGTTTATAAGTATGTAAATAAATAGTGAGATGTATTTTGCTGATTTTATTGCTTTTCTCACGTTGCTGGCCAGATGACAAATTTTGCTTAACTGGGAAAAACTCCCATCCCCCATCACAGGTGGATTAAAGACGCCTTGTATTTTATCAAACTTGAAAAATCTGATTTTCTCTTCACCGACCCAGTACATCATTCTCTAAAATTTGGAAGCCCTTTTTAGTAAACGTACAAACTCTTCAATCTCTTAATTTGTCTGATTACCGTTTTCATTCAATAGAATTTTTCGTTTTACATTGATATTAGAATTCAGTTTTAAGTGCTCTACTGGTTTTAGCTGCTGATAGGAATGTATTTATGTATTTACTACTTGCATTTTTACTTTTTGTCATGTCTTTTATTTTATTACATTTTTTGTGGTGTTGTTGTTTTGTGTTATCATTATTGTTACCTGTGTATACCTGTTTATTTATTTATTAACTTATTTTCTTTGCACCCTGAATGCATCATAAAAATGATGAATAAACCATTAAAAAATAGTCAGTTGCAGGGGAAAAAACGCTGCGGAGCAATGATGGCAAGTGAGGAAAATGCTCTTAATGACTTCCTTCACCTCGTCAGATCTTTACTGTTCCAAATTCCCTGAGGACAAAGCAGCTCTACATACACACATTCACACACACACACACACGCACAATCTCAATCTGTATCTCAATATTTCTGTATGAAATCAGACTGAAAAGATAAGAGACATGAACTTAAAAAGCCAGACAGAGACAGGGACGAAGGGAGATTATGTGAAGTGGTGAGGGTCTTTTGAAAATTAAAAAAATAATAAAAAAACTTCTCAGAAGGCATCAGACCTGGGCAGAAATCATAAACCGTCAGATAACAGTCACCACAGTGGGGAGTGCTTGAGTTTGTTTTTAGAATGGTTTGTCTGCTGAAGATAGCTAAATCTAAAATCCGAATCAAATTCCATTTGGGAACATTCTTAAAATACCTTTTATCCTTTTGCAAAATGTTTTCATTTAGGTCTACACTGTAAAAAATGATTTTGTGGTGAAGTAAATACTACAGAAAAAACAACGCAATTTACATGAAAAAGTAAGTTCAGACAAGAACTAAATTCTATACTCAAAGCAAGCGTGTAGAAATGAAAGGGTAAAAAACAACTTAAAAAAAAAAGTTATTAAATTAAGTAAAATTACTCAAATTTTCTGATACTGGTGTTCCCATCATGCACTGGGCCTTTAATAATTAATAACGTTGATTTTTCACTGTTTTCCTGCTGTATCCACTGCTTTTATTTTTAGGGTTTGTAACTTGCCATTTTCTGACATTTGGATTTCATTGTTCATTATCCACTCAAAATGACACATTCAAACACAAAAACGATCCATCAAATGTTTTTCATCATTGTGTATTTTCTACCAAGTATTGAGATCTTAAGTGTTAATGTTACTTAACTTAGTTCATATGTGACATTAACTTTAAAATATGCGTGTGAATTTTACTTAAAAAATATTTGTCAAAAAACTTGCCAAAGAAAAATTAAGTAAATTTTACTTATTGTTTTATTCTGTGTAGGGTTAGTCTGTAAAAAACATAAAGTTAACAATTAAGAATTTTTGCAACTTTTAAAGTTATTGTTCTAAATATTTTTTTTCATATATATACGTATATATATATATGTTCATTAGCAGCCAATAGTATAGTAGGGAAAAACAGTCAGTTTGGAGATATTCCCACATTTTCAAAAAGTAACAAAATAATATCTTTATTCACTTATTCAACATGGATGTTTTAGTTATGAATTTATGCATAGGCTATCTTTAACAGTCATTTTATAAAATGTTTATATTGGTGATCCAACACCTGTTAATGCATCATATTCATCTTTCCTGTTTTTCACCATAATATTTTTTTATAATAAATTTTATTAAACTTTTCTGCTGTTCACTTAAACAGTCTTGTGGTGACAGGTAGTTTATTTTAAGTCTAGAGAAACCTCACAAAGGTCATAAAACTGCTGCAGATATAATAATTATTATACTGTCTGTCTGTAGGCATGTCCTGCACTAGATTAAAGCGTGGACATATCAATAGAAAGACACAACTCACTCATCCATCACTGGTTCCTCAACTACAGCGAATCACTGATTCAATACAGCGGCGGCACAGATCGATGAAACAATGTATCATGTGTTTGCTTGACAGCTCTCACCGGTATTTGCGTCCTGATGAGTTTTAACACAGTCACAAACATTCCAGAGAAAAAACAAAGTCCATACAAGATCTCCAACTACAGACTTCAGCCCCATTCTCACCAGTCAGATCAGTTAAGTTCTCACAAAGTCGACAGGAAGAAAAAAAAAATACTGTTTTCCTTACTCAAGAGTAGGAAAAAAACATTACACATTTCCCCCAAAAAAATATATAGGCTATCTCTATATCTATATATGAGGCGAGATGTCGGATGAAGAGCTTGAATAGTCCTCTGGTATAGTCTCGTGTGACAGAGACCCTCAGATTTGAAACATCTGGACTTGTTTTCGGCTATTTAGCTGGGGGGGTTTAGCTGCCTTCCTGTCGCTTCCAAGCAAAACAATGCAAAACTTAGTTGTTTTTCCTCCTCCGCGATTGAAATAAAGGCTGTAAATTGACAGCCGCTGGACAACCCTGATCCTCCTCTGCAGCCAATGAACACAAAATCTGCACGCTTTCATTTGAACATTTCCGGATGATCTCATGAAAGTTCGTATCTATGGCACGAATGTCATTTCTCGTGGCATTTATACGCCAAAATCAGTTTTTGCGTGTATTTGGCACGCGATTTTCGCGTACATATTATACGCACTTTTTTGCGTATAATACACACGAACTCCCCACCACCCTCCCCCCTAAACCTAACCCAGGGTTTTTTAGTGCGTACCATACACACGAAAAAAACACTTTTGGCGTATAAATGCCACGAGAAATGACACTCGTGGTATAGATACGCATCTTCATGAGACTGTGTTGGATTTCCGGACTCGAGCGCTTGAAGTCCTCACAAAACAGTTTCATTAACACTGCACAATAATACATTATAATAAACATTATACCCAACAAATGGCGTGCATTAAAAAATTAGTAAATATGAATAATGTAAATAAATCATAAAGGCAATAATAAATAAATATATGGGGTTTTATGAAGACTCTATGGGCTACCCTAACACTGGCTGTATAGTGTATAGTTATTATAGTACATAAGAATTTATATAGCCTAAACTAACCCATTTTTTTTTCTAGTGAAATCTTGAATGTATATGAGTTTATTGGTCCGTTACTTACACCTTTTTTATCTTTCCCATCCTCAATTTAACCCCCAGTTAAAAAAAAAAAACATAGAGACTTGTGTTTGTGTGTGTACATCTGAATTAAGGCTGGGATGCATTGCACGACTTTTGCTCAGATTTTAAAAGTCGAGTATCTTTAGTTTCATCATGTAAAAGAACACTCAGATGACCTTTGTTTCTGGTTTCTGGTTAAAGCGAGGACACTATTTCAGCCTCCTAATCTCTGTCTTAATTACAGTGTGCTTCCTAATCAACTATTAGTGTGTATGTGTGTGTGCTCCTCTGTCAGGGTTTGTTAAAGCATATAAAGACACTAGGACGAGAATAGCCCAGATTACCACACAAGACACATGCTGTTACTTTACCATCAGGATCATCAGGAGAAAACATCTCATCACATTTTTGCTTTGAATGTGACATACAGAAACTAAAATCAATCAATCAATCAATCAATCAATCAATCAATCTATCTATCTATCTATCTATCTATCTATCTATCTATCTATCTATCTATCTATCTATCTATCTATCTATCTATCTATCTATCTATCTATCTAAGAAATGGTTCTATCAGCGCTACGTATATTTGGAACCCCTAAAAGGTTCTAATAAGGAGAACAAGGTAACCAGGAAAAAGGTTCTACATTATGTGGAACCTTTTGGGTTCACTCATTATCATTTGTTTTGTCCTCTCCGGATTAAATATTTCATATTATTGACAAACATCAAGACCCTAAAATGTATTTATGAATACATGTGAATGATCACAAAATGCAAGACATGGGAGTTAAAAAATGTATATATTTATATCATTATATGTAGTTAATCAATATCACACAAAGAGAGTCAATTCAGTTTTTCTCCTCCAAAAAAATCAGCATGAACTACAAAATATTGCAGAAAATTGCAATATATGAATGAATAAAAGCCTATAAAGAACCTGTGTGCCAAAAGGGTACTTTCTTGTCATTATAGAACCTTTTTTTAGCAAAAGTTTCTTATATAGAGCCCCAATGAACCCCTTTTTCTAAGAGTGTACCCATCTACCTATACCTACTTACCTACATAGATAAACAATTAAAAGTCAGAGGAGTTTTGTTTTCCAAATTATAAGCATAAGAAATTGAGGAAAAGTTTAATTGAAAAATGAAGATGAATTTCAAATTTCGATTGATTATTTGAAAAAAAATAGTGCAGCAAAAAAATGACATTAAAAATAAGAACCATCTTCTTGGTTTCTGTTAATTTTCTGATTTTTTATCCAAAAATTTCAGTGTGATCTTAGACTTTTGTAGCCCACTGTATTTATATGATTATACACTATCTATATTGGTTATGATGCGGTTTTGCTCAGAGGTCATTTTCCATCTTAGAATACTGTTGTTTCATTGGCCAGGAGAGAACCGTTGCTATTGGTTAGACCTATGATGATGGTCTAACGACCTAGCTGGCATTTGACTTGACCTCTTACCTTAGCGATGGCACTGATCCAGTGAGTTTGAACACTAAACCTCAGACTTATCCAATGTTCTCCGACAGCTCCAAACACAGACATGAGGTGGTCTTTTACCTGGAAGTCACACACAAACAATCCTCGAACTCTCTTTTATACACTCAAATCCAAATAAAGGATGGTAATAACGTAACTTTGGAGAGAATAACTGGACATCTTGACCTAAAGAACGGTTAGATGGGACAGGTAGGTTAACATGCTATCTTTTTTTATTCTCTAATACTATAATACTCAAACAGCCCTGAAGTCTATTTTTGGCTTGTGTTTTCTTCTGTAAGAGAGAGAGAGAGAGAGAATTACAACTTCTATATTACAGAAGTATTGTGTTACAGATTATTGTGTTTTTGTTTTTATAAACCAATGCAACACCCTTTCATATTATTGCTTAATTATATTATGGCCTATTGTGCTACATTTTAAAATTTAAGCACTGGTTTGGAACATTGTATTGAACAATGTACAGCATAATTAAATGTGTTCTTGATTACTAAGAATAATTGTTTAACACAGCTTGAATACGTGTGTAAACAAGAGTGTGTTTGTACGTAAGAAGGCTTAACTGTCTGCTGAAAACCTCCTTAGGAGATTTATAAGTCTTAAACAAGAGCAGGGCTGTTTGCTGAAAGTCTTTCTTAGGCCATACATTTACAGGTCATGTTACACCACCCTGGATTTCCTAAATGTGAATGCAATAATACATTTCCAGCCTTTTTAGCTACATTCAACCAGCATCTGTTTCCCTTGGGCTAAATTAGCCAATTTATAATGAGCTGGATTATGGTGGCATAGTAATGTAGAATACAAACTAGGAGTGTAACGATATTTGAAACGAACCGAAAAACCGTAACGTACAGAACCCACGATTCGAATCATGATACTCTCATGGCGTACCAAACACTGCCCGCCCCCTGCTTCCCCGGCCCGGCCCCACACAGACGCAGTGAGAACGAAAGTGGGAACGAAATACTAAACTCACCAAGCTAAGTGCTGCTGTAAACTTGTACAAAGACCAGATAGCTCACACGACTGGTTCAAGCCTATAAAACTTGGGAACCTGGTCATGTCAAGATCCAAACTGTAGAATCTGTCAAAAGTGGGCGAAGAGGACCAGCCTGTCGCAACACAAATGTCCTCCAGAAGGGCACCTCTAAAGCCCGGAACACACCCAGCCGACAGTCGGCCAACTAAGTTTCCTCGGTGTGATACGCACGGTTCCGTGCCGTTGGCTGAAAATAGTCCTCGTCGGCTTTGTTTCGCCCGATTCGACATTCGGGCCGTTGGGGAAAGAGAGAACGCTGATTGGCTGTTCAGCTTAGTGAAAGATTCAGTGCATGAGAATAAAAGCAAAACAGCAAGCAAAGAAGTCAAAACTTTAAAGATAGAAGGCTGTTCTTATGTTACGTCTTCTTACCTAAGTGTTCTTTGGCGAATATTTCAATATTAACAGGAGTGGAGTAGTGGAATAAAGAAAGTGTTCAGCAGGATTGATATTCAAAACGGTAACTTAGGCACGCGCTGCTTTGTTTACGTTATGTGTATCTGCAGCGTCAGTTTTCCTTTTGGGCTCTATGCACGGCGTTATTTCCGGTGAAGCATTAAGGATGCTCGATAACTTCCGCCGATCATAGTCCAATGCAATACCGAGAATTTATATTGAATTTTATACTCCATGGTTATACTAATGAAACGTTAATCACAAAAACAGATAAAACAGACACCCCTCGTTGTGTTTATGCTTCTTTTTAAAATTATATTAAATAAACATAACTATATATAAAATTACATCTAAACGTATGTACGTTTCGTTTCAAAGACGGGAGGACAGTAAATATTGAAGACTCTGCCATAATCCCGTTTTCTCCGGTTTTCCTCCGCTTTAATCTACACAACCGGAAATGGACGAGCATCCTTACGTCAAATGCGGAACTTATGCGTGCATATGGCGCAGAACGCACATTCTAGCTGACAGTCGGCTGCAGTTCTCTCGGTGTGTTCAAGTGCAGCTTTTTACCTCGACGAGAGCGGACGAGAGGCGACAACACAGTCAGCTTTCATCAGCGCTAGTTCGTTGGCGTCGGCTTGGTGTGTTCCGGGCTTATAAAGTGCTTGAGAGGAAGCCAGGCCTCTGGTGGAATGTGCCCTGATGCTAAAAGGTAAAGGCAGACCGCGCACCTCATATGTCAATTAAATAGCCTCTGTAACCCAGTGGGAAATTCTCCACTTTGATGCGACAAGCACGCGGCGGCCAGCACCAAAACATACCAAGAGCTGGTTGGATTTTCTCCAATCGCCAGAGTGATCCACGTTTAGCTTTAAAGAGCACCTATGATGGATTTTTGAAAATGTCTGTTCATGTGGTGTGGAACATAGCTCTAAGGGAATGAAAACATCCTGCAAAGATTTATATCTAAAAGTGCACTGTATATAAAGTTATTGTCTTTCAAAAGTGAGAGTCGACTCTGAGTCTATGAAATGAATTGTTTTTGAAACGAGTCATTAGCTGTTACATCGTGACGTAGAAAGGTCATTGGCCGCTCCCAACAACTGCGGGCGCA